ACATGCCTTTGCTACTAGAAGCCCTGCTAAAGTTTAATCTTCTTTCTTTCTTTCTTTCCTTCCTTTCTTTCTTTCTTTCTCTCTTTCTTTGTCTTTCCTTTTTTTTTTTGAGACAGAGTCTTGCTCTGTTGCCCAGGCTGGAGTACAGTGGCTCAATAATAATTCACTGCAGCCTCGAACTCCTGAGCACAAGCAATCCTCCCACCTCAGCCTCCCAAGTAGCTAAGATTACAGGCACAAGCATGCCACCAAGCCCCAGCTAATTTGTTTACTTTTTTTTTTTAAGAAATGAAGTCTAGGCCGGGAGCGGTGGCTCACGCCTGTAATTCCAGCACTTTGGGAGGCCGAGGCGGGTGGATCACGAGGTCAAGAGATCGAGACCATCCTGGTCAACATGGTGAAACCCCGTCTCTACTAAAGATACAAAAAATTAGCTGGGCATGGTGGCGCGTGCCTGTAATCCCAGCTACTCGGGAGGCTGAGGCAGGAGAATTGCCTGAACCCAGGAGGCGGAGGTTGCAGTGAGCCGAGATCGTGCCATTGCACTCCAGCCTGGGTAACAAGAGCGAAACTCCGCCTCAAAAAAAAAAAAAATGAAATGAAGTCTTATCCTGTTTCCCAGCCTGGTCTCAAACACCTGGCCTCAAGCAATCCTCCCGCTTCGGCCTCCCTAAATGCTGGGATTACAGGCATGAGCCACTATGCCTGGCCTTGATCACCTCTTAGTGCAGAGGTTTACATGGAGTCCAGCAGTTCTCCGAAACAGTGACCTGCTAAGTTCTCCTCCCGCGGTGGTCAGCTTCACCGTCTCTTCCCCAGAGTCTTCCCTTATCCAGCCTGAGTCTCAGCTAGATTGAGAGTCAGATCCTTTCAAAACTCTGTTCTTCATTGTGGGAAGTAGAAATGATCCTTTTTAAAGTTGCCTTTCTTGTTAAAGAATAAGTGTGCTAATAACTTTATTAAGTCCTATCCTGTGTAGCTATTATACATGCCACACTTACAGGCACATGGTACATTCTATGTCCTTGTACTTTAACCAAGATATCTGTGCTGGGTGTGCTCACAGGCATGTCCCAACTCTCCATTACTTATACCTGTTTAGAACAGTTTTAAGTTGTTAGCCAATCAGGTTTTAGTTTAGATTGTGAGGTCTGTCTCCAGCCAACAGAGATCAGACACAGCAATAACGATGACCCCAAATGTATAAGGGATAAATTTGTGTGTTTTCGTTTGTTCATTGTACTCTCATGGCATGATGGCTAGAGAGGGTCCCTGTCCTGCAGTCCAGGAAGTAAAAACTGCGTTGCTGAAAGATCCTTTGTCTCGGTGCTGATTTTTCTTTGCAGCACCGAGCGTCTGTTTCTAACATTCATCTTTCCTTTCAATCAAAGCTCTTTTGGGATTTAAAGTAACTGAATCCCCAAACAAACTGACTCGGGGGAAACGATAAGAATACATAGAGCAGCGTGGCACACAGCTGAAGGATCAGCGTGGACATCAGGCACAGCTGAATCTAGGTGTTTAAATGATGCCATCAGAAATCTCTCTTTCCATGCACCGACTATGCTTTCGTATGTGTTGGCCTCATTCTTAGGCAGCCTCTCTACCCATGATAGAAAGATGGCCCCAGCAGCTGCACATTGAGATCTCTGCAGCTCAACAAACCCAGAAGAAGGAAAAAGATGCTTTTAGGCTGGGGGCAGTGGCTCACGCCTATAATCCCACCACTTTGGGAGGCCAAGGCAGGCGGATCACTGAAGGCCAGGAGTCCAAGATGAGCCTGGGCAACATAGTGAAAGACTGTCTCTACTAAAAATACAAAAAACTTAGCCAGGCATCGTGGCACATGCCTGTAATCCCAGCTAATCTGGAGGCTGAGGCATGAGAATCTCTTAAACTCGAGAGATGGAGGTTGCAGTGAGCCAAAATCACACCACTGCACTCCAGCTTGAGTGACAGAGCAAGACTCTGTCTCTAAATAAATAAATAAAATTTTAAAAACAGGGCTGGGCATGGTGGCTCATGCCTGTAATCCCAGAAATTTGGGAGGCCAAAGTAGATGGATCACAAGGTCAGGAGTTCAAGATCAGCCTGGCCAAGATGGTAAAACCTCATCTCTATTAAAAATACAAAAATTAGTTGAGTGTGGTGGCTAGTGCCTGTAGTCCCAGCTACTGGGGAGGCTGAGGCAGGGAATTGCTTAAACCTGAGAGGCGGACGTTGCCGTGAGCCAAGATCATGGCACTGTACTCCAGCCTGGGCAACAGAGCAAGACTCATCTCAAAAATAAATAAATAAAAATTAAAAATTTTAAATAGAAAAAATGCTTTATTCCCCAGTGTTCCAATAAAATTTCTAAGACTGCTTTCTCCTTGGCCTGTTCTGGGTACCAAGCCCAGGTCAGGAGTTCAAGATGGTGAAACCTCATCTCTACTAAAAATACAAAAATTAGTCAAGTGTAGTGGCAGGTGCCTGTAATTCCAGCTACTCAGGAGGCTGAGGCAGGGAACTGTTTGAACCCAAGCAATTCTCCATAAATCACTGTTGTCAGGGGATGCAGTGCTCTGATTGGCCAGTCCAAGGCCTCTCACCTCCCTGGAGCCGTGAGGAGGTTGGTTTCCAAAGGGAACTCCAGGTGCTGTTACCTGGATAAAAGAGAGTGAATGCTGGCTGGGCAGAAACCCCGGAACCTTACAGCATAATGGCTATTAACTGCATTGCAAATATTTACTTTTTGCCTATCATTGGTCTCCTGGCCTAGCTCATCACGCCAGCAGAGGCCTTCAGACCAACCGTAAAAGAAGCACGTCAGCAAATGCTAATAAGAAATACTGTGTCACCTGATGATGACTATTATCGACAACTCATGGGTGAACCTTAGCCCCTGGGTGGAACCTGAACCTCTCTGGGAGGGAAAAGCATGAGCTTCTGAGTCAGACAGATCTGAGTTCAAGTCTGGACACTCCATTTCACTCACTTGCCCTTCATCCATTTATTCACTAAAAAGAAAACACGTCGGCTGGCACGGTGGCTAATGCCTGTAATCCCAGCACTCTGGGAGGCTGAGGCAGGAGGATCACTTGAGCCCAGAAGTTTGAGAGCAGCCTGGGTAATACAGTGAGACCCTGTCTCTACAAGAAAAAAAATGTTAAAATGAGCTGGGAGTGGTAGTTCAGACCCAATGAGTGAAATTTAACCAGAGAAAAGCGAGCTGGTTCTCAGGTATGATTATGAGAGTGACCTAGGCTTTGCATATGGCAGTAAAAGCTGGAAAGGCTGCTGAGAAAATTGGAACCAGGAACTGACCAAAGAGAAATAAATGGATTTCCAGAGATTGCTCAGGGTCTGCTTGAAGTTGGGCACATGGTTTCGGAGTGGTTCCAAGATGGAAGGACAAGTCCCAGCTACTCAGGAGACCGAGGCAGGATTATTGCTTGAATCCAGAAGGTTGAGGCTGCAGAGAGCTATGATTGTGCCACTGCACTCCAGCCTAGCTGATAGAGTGAGACCCCATCTCAAAAAAAAAAGTGTATTGAGCACTTGTTACATGCAAGGCACTGTTCTAGTCACCAGGGGCACAGCCGCACACCAGATTAACAGCCCTGCCCTCCTGGATCTGACGTTGAAGTTGGAGAGGTGAGACTAAGGAGGAGAGACAGATAACACAAGTGGACAAAGAAATCATCTAAGAGAGCGGTAAATGATGTCGAGAAGAGAACGAACAGTGTGGCTTGCTAGCAAAGAGCTGGGGGCCTGAGTTGCAGCAGGCCTAATGAATGAATTAAGCCAAAATGATGTGATACAGTCGGCTTTGAGATTACATGAGTAAGGTTCTAAGGAGAGGGGGCTGGGCGCGGTGGCTCAAGCCTGTAATCCCAGCACTTTGGGAGGCCGAGGCAGGTGGATCACGAGGTCAAGAGATCAAGACCATCCTGGTCAAAATGGTGAAACCCCATCTCTACTAAAGATACAAAAAATTAGCTGGGCATGGTGGCGTGTGCCTGTAATCCCAGCTACTCGGGAGGCTGAGGCAGGAGAATTGCCTGAACCCAGGAGGCGGAGGTTGTGGTGAGCCGAGATCGCGCCATTGCACTCCAGCCTGGATAACAAGAGCGAAACTCCGTCTCGGAAAAAGAAAAGAAGAGGGAAGAGGGCGTGCAAAGGTCCTGCGCTGGCGCCTTCCAAAAACTGGCGGAAAGCCCCTGTGAGCGGCTGTGACGGTAGGCGAGTGACTCAGCGCCTGTGCACCGCTGGAAAATGAGGACGCTCATATCTACTCCTCGAGGTTAGTATGAGGATTCCATTAGGCAACGCTATTACAGGGCTAATGCTGTGCCCGCATATAGTAGGTGTTGAGTAAACACCAGCGATTGGTTCGAGCAATATAATTATTAATCGAGGTGGAAAACGGGCCTGGGGAGTGAGAAGGGTGAGGAAACAGGGGCTAGTTAGTGAAGTGTGGCTTATCCTTCTAGAATCTAAAATTCGGGGTATAGTCTGAGCAACGTCCTGATACCGGGATTCTGAACACGCCTCCAGGACATTTTAGATATCAAATTCTAATTAGCACTGACTTCATAGTGACTGACATTCATTGAGCACCTACTGTGGGACTAGGCACAACACCAGCCACCTTGTGTCCACGGTCCCCTCTGACTCTGGCGCATGCACTGTTGATAACACCTTCATTTTGTTTTAAATTTTCTTAGCAGAACAATTTATTAATGAATATGCAATAAAGTATCTCCCCACAATCTTTCCAGAAATGACAAGGCAGGGAGTGAATACTTCTTTCTGGCTTCTCTGGAAATTTTTAATGTACACATGAAATAAACATTTTCTCCTTACAGAGGAAAAAAGTAGGGGTTCAGAGTCCAGGAGAGAACCCAGGAGGCCAGCAGAAGGCCCCGTCACCTCCTACCGGGTGACCTTTGGCCATTCCTTGCCTTTGATGTGAATGATCGGGCGATTCTGCTCCTCCCTCCGTCTCCTGGCAGGGGTTGTAGGGTGAAGGAATGAGAGCAAAACCTCAGGGCCTCCTCCCCAGAAACCCTGTCCCGCTCTGGTCCCCACCCACCACCACCATTGACCCAGTGCTAGAGAAGGATGCCACTAGAGGTGACTTCCCAGCCAACTCAAAAAGTCACATGGGGACGTGGCCAGGGTGGGCGTGGTCATTGTGGCCGGGGTCCTGCAGGGCGGGGCCGAAGCTGCAGACGCGACTGCGCAGGTCTATAAAGACGCCACGTGTGATGAAGAGACCTTCTCCGCACAGTCCCTGGACAGAATACGAGATGAGGAGTCCTCTGGACGTCAGCTCCGGCCACACCCCTGCCTGGAGGAAGCTGCTCTTAACAGGTGCGTTGGAGACAGCGGCTTCATCGCGGGGAGGGACAAGGAGAGAGTGTCTGTCCAAATCCAAGTCGCCCCACTCAGAGCTTCCACCCTGAGCAATTTGAGGCCCAAGAAGCTCAGGCTCCCAACCTATGGGAACTCTTGAAGGTCACCCCGCCGCAAGAGATGATCCTATTGGCTTCTTTTAGGAAGAAGGGAAGTGAGGCGCAAAGAGGGGACCAGATCACCTACCCAAGATCTCAGGACTGGCAAGAGGCAGGATCAGAATTCGGGACCCCAGCCCAGCCCCCTTCCACCAGGTGCCCTGTCTCACTCCAGCAATCCACAACCTAGTAATAATCAATATAAGTAATAACAATAATAAAATAATAACAGCCGTAATAGAAGCTCGCCGTGACCGAATAGGTCTGCATGCCAGCCCACTTGCGTTGTTTGTGACAAGGTCTTGCTCCGTTGTCCAGGCTAGAATGCAGCTTCCACCTGCTGGGCTCAAGCCATTCTCCTGCCTCAGTGTCCTGTGTAGCTGGGACCACAGGTATGCCACCAAACCCAGCTATATTTTTTTTTTATCTTTAGTAGAGATGAGGTCTTACTGTGTTGCCCAGGCTAGCCTTGAACTCCTGGGCTCAAGCGATCCTCTTGCCTCAGCCTCCCCGAGTGTCAGGATTACAGGTGCGAGACACTGCACCCAGCCTGTCAGCCCGCTCTAAGTGCTGTCATGTAGTAACATTTAACTGATATCACAACCCTTTGAGATCAGGGCTGGATATCCCTATGTCACAGAAGGGGAAACTGAGGTTCAGAGAGGCCATGTGCCCTCCCCGGGTCGCACACATGGAAGTGGCAGAATGAAGATTTGAAGGCAGGGGGGCTGGCTTGCCAGGCGACACTTGCCAGAGACCACACACACCTGCCTCTCAGACAGTGACTGAATTACTTCCCGTTCCAGGTCTTAAAAGTTCAGTTCTGTGTAGTTTTAAAACCCAAAGTCCACCCAGTTCAGAGCTTTGCTGTGTCCCCAGCTCAGGCCTGTGTCACCCTGGAAGGAGGAAAGGGACGTGGTGGGCCTCTTCCCTATTTCATCAGAGCTGTTGTCTGAGGCCTCTCGGGGCGGGGGGGGGGGGGGCAGAGGGGAGGAAGGAAAGAAAAGCAGGTGGGAAAGTTTCTCCTTGGCTGCTGTCGTTGTCAGTTGGAAAAAAGGCATGCTGTGTGCTGCTGGATCTTCCTGGGGTGGGGGCAGAGAGGGCGGGGCACTTTGGGAATTGGCTATGCCACTGAATAAAATGGCAACCAGCTTTTAGAAAGCTGTTTTTCAAGGCCAGGTGCGGTGGCTCCCGCCTGTGATCCCAGCACTTTGGGAGGCCGAGGCGGGTGGATCACGAGGTCAAGAGATCGAGACCATCCTGGCCAACGTGGTGAAACCCTGTCTCTCCTAAAAAAACAGAAATTAGCTGAGTGTGTTGGCACACGCTTGTAGTCCCAGCCACTTGGGAGGCTGAGGCAGGAGAATCACTGGAACCCAGGAGGTAGAGGCTGCAGTGAGCCAAGATCACACCACTGTACTCCAGCCTGGCAACAGAGCAAGAGTCCGTCAAGGAAGAGAGAAAGAGAGACACAGAGAGAGGAAGGGAGGGAGCAGGGGGGAGAGAGAGAGAGAGAGAAGGAAAGAAAGAAAGGAGGGAAGGAGAAAGAGAAAGAAGGGAAGGAAGGAAGGAAGGAAGGAAGGAAGGAAGGAAGGAAGGAAGGAAGGAAGGAAGGAAGGAAGGGGTTTGTAGAGTGATGGGGGGTGCTTACAAAACATTATCCAAAGGAACACAAAGCAACTGTGTGACAAACTTCAACTCTGTAAACACAACATGCTCTCTTGATAACAGCGGGTGCCTGGAGAGTGTGACCAGGACAAGCTCAGGGGTGGAGGTCAAAGGGAGATTTGGCTTTAGATGGGTCTATTTTTTTTTTCTAAGGAGAAACACTTGTGTGATTAAAAATTCATTTTAAAAATTATGAAAAACCTTCAAAGAAAATATGCTCCCCAAATGGTTATCTGAGTATTAGGCTTAAGGATTTGTTTTACTGCTTTTTATTGTACATTCCAAATTATTCTGTAATGAGGAGAAGTTGTTTTTGTGATGTCTTGTAAGAATTGCTGAATATAACTCTACTTTTTGTGTAAAAGAAATAGAAACAATAAGAAGCATAAAGCTTGAAAAAAATAGTAAAAGTTTTCAAAACATAATGTTTAGGTGTCTTAAGTTTTATGCTATAAAAATGGATTTATATATATATATATGTATATATGTGAGTATGTATGAGGAATACCATATAGAGAGAGAGAGTGAGGGAGAGAAGAGAGAGAGAGAAGGAGAAAGGTCTTGCTCTGTCACCCAGGCTGGAGTGCAGTGGTGGGATCATAGCTCACTGCAACTTCGAACTCCTGGGCTCCAGGGAATCTTCCCACCTCAGCCTCCTTCCTAAGTAGCTGGGACTGCAGGCACATGCACCGTGCCCAGATAATTTTTTATTTTTGTAGAGACAAAGCCTCACTCTGTTGCCCAGGCTAGTCTTGAACTCCTGACTCAAGTAATCCTCCAGCCTTGGCCCCTCAAATGCTAGGATTACAGGTGCGAGCCAACACACTGGCCTACTCTTATATTAAAAAAAAAAATTGGGCTGGGCCCAGTGGCTCATGTCTGGAATCCAGCACTTTGGGAGGCTGAGGTGGGCGGATCACGATGTCAAGAGATTGAGACCATCCTGGCCAACATTGTGAAACCCCATCTCTACTAAAAATACAAAATGTAGCTGGGCATGATGGCGCGTGCCCGTAGTCCCAGCTACTCAGGAGGCTGAGGCAGGAGAATGGCTCGAACACCGGAGGCAGAGATGACAGTGAGGGGAGGTTGCGCCATTGCACTCCAGCCCGGGCGATAAGAGTGAAACTCCACATCAAAAAAAAAAAAAAAAAATTCCATCAGGTGTGGAAAGATTAGGGTGTGGTGCCTAAGAGAGGCAGGGTTTCTTTTTGGGGTGATGAAAATGTTCTAAAATTGACTGTGGTGATGGTTGCACAATCCTTTGAGTACTAAAAGCTCTTGAATTGTACACTTTAAATGAGTAAATTATCGGCTAAGAAAGTAGAGTTTTGCTCTTATGAGCTGGTATAAAAAATAGATTTTATGTGTTCTCACTACAAAAAAAATAAGTACATGAAGTAATGCACATGTTAATTCACTCAATTCCACAATGTATTCGTATTTTAAAACATCACATTGTACAACATAAATACACACAATTTGTATTTGTTAATTTTTAAAAGAAAAAGTAGAGGCAAGGTTATAACTTCAGAGTGTCCAGAGCAAATATTATGTCATCCTTTTCAAATAATCCATGCCTGTAATCCCAGCACTTTCAGAGGCTGAGGTGAGAGAATCACTTAAGGCCAGAGATTCACAAAGGCCAGCCTGGGCAACATAGCAAGACCACCATATCTACAAAAAAGGTTTAAAAATTGGCTGAGCATGGTGGTGTGCCCCTAAAATCCCAGAGACTTGAAAGGCTGAGGTGGGAGGATTGCTTGAACCCAGGAGTTCAAGGCTGCAGCGAGCTGTGATCACACCACTGCACTCCAGCCTGGGCCACAGAGTGAGACCTTGTTTGAAGAAAAAAAAAAAAGAGATGGAAGGAAGGAAGGAAGGAGGGAGGGAGGGAGGGAGGGAGGAAGGGAGGGAAGAAGGAAGGGAGGGAAGAAGGAAGGAAGGAAGGAAGGAAGGAAGGAAGGAAGGAAGGAAGGAGGGAGGGAGGGAGGGAGGGAGGGAGGGAGGGAGGGAGGGAGGGAGGGAAGGGAGGGAGGGAGGAAGGAAGGAAGGGAGGAGGGAGGGAGGGAGGAAGGGAGGGAAGGGAGGGAGGGAAGAAGGAAGGAAGGAAGGAAGGAAGGAAGGAGGAGGGAGGGAGGGAGGGAGGGAGGGAGGAGGGAGGGAGGGAGGGAGGGAAGGGAGGGAGGGAGGAAGGAAGGAAGGAGGGAGGAAGGGAGGGAAGGGAGGGAGGGAAGAAGGAAGGAAGGAAGGAAGGAAGGAAGGAAGGAGGGAGGGAGGGAGGGAGGAAGGGAGGGAAGGGAGGGAGGGAAGAAGGAAGGAAGGAAGGAAGGAAGGAAGGAAGGAAGGAAGGAAGGAAGGAAGGAAGGAGGGAGGGAGGAAGGGAAGGAAGGAAGGAAAGAAGGAAGGAAGGTCACACCAGATGCTGACTTGGAGATTAGCTCAGTGGAGGTGGGGGGTGGGCAACAAGTGACCCCCACAACTCCCAGCTCTCCACTATGACTCTGAATCTAAGACTGAAACTGCTTTTCCTGTAAAACAGACCAGCACCAACTCTAAAGTTGTTGAGGGGCTCAATGAGGTATCCTGGTCAGGATACCAAGTTGGAAGGGCTTGGCATGCTCCCTGGCACTCAGCCTCAGCCAGCGGTGTCAGCCGATCACCCGAAGCTGCTTCTGAGACCTCACACCCCCTTCCAGAGTGCAGTGTGTTTGTAACTAAGTGGGTATCTCCAGCCACCACATCTCATTCGTTTAACCAAGAAGAAAGCTGATGTTTTAACACGCACTCTGTAAATTTCTGATCCTTAAAAGTTACCATCTATTATATTGCTTTTTTAAGAGAACTTTAAAATAAGTGATTACATTTACGAAATAAACGAACCATTATTTATTTCATCAGTTCCCTATTGTTGAAGAGTTGGGTATTTCCAATCTTTTGCTATTGTAAATAGGGCGTGGTAACACTCTGTACTGGTCATTTTGTTCTGTGAAAGTCTATCTATAGAACACATCCCTACATTTAATTAGAGGGTCAAAGGATACAAGAATTTGTAATTTCGAAAGACTTTACCAGATTGCCCTCTGCGGGGCATGTACCAGCAACGTATAGGCATTCCTGTTGCCCTCAGCATCACCAACACAACAAGTCATCATTAAACTTTTGGATCTTTGCTGAAAAGGTTATCTCGTCGTTTTCATTTACTTTTCTCTTACTATGCATAGAACCGAGCATTTTCCCTACGTTGAGAGAGAGTTAAGTTTTCTTTTCTATGAACTGCCTATTCCTATGCTATGTGTATTTTTCTGTTGGGTTGCTGATATTTTTCTTATTAATTTCCAGGAGCTTTTTATATATGAGTGAAACGAGCTCTTTGTCTGTGACATCAGTTAGAATGTTTCTCCTGGTTGTCGTTCTTTTGACCTCGTGAGTGATGGGGATTTTTTTAACCTTTCAGGCGTTTTGGGTTTTTTTTTTTTTTTCATTTTACACCAATTTTTTTTAGTCTTTTATGGCTAGAGCTTGTATTCCTACCACACCATTGCAGTGAGAGAAAGAACAGGTTGGGTAACTGCGTGGGATCTGGAACCAAACTCCAAGTTCCAAGCAATATGGACATTGAATGAGAGGACGAGAGAGAAACTAAGGCGGGAGTCGGGCAGGATAGTTTCGTGGCTGAGAATTTTGACTGCCTGCATGTGGATCACGGTTCTGCTGCTCGCCACCTGTAACATCCTGGGAAAATATTTTAGATTCTCTTGGCCTCTGCTTCCTCATCTGTAAATGGGGTACCACAGTCGTATCAGTCAGGGTTGAGGCAAGAAAAGTCGGTCTACTCTAAGGGAGTGGTAAGGAGAGTTTAAGTTTGAGACAGGGACTGTTTGCAGCAGAGGCGTAGGTGAGGGATAGGAAGAACATGGGACGATGTAGCGCCCAGGGCCCAGCAACAGCAGGGAGCTATTGACTCCCTCAGGCTGGAAGCCATAAGGAGAAAAGCAGATCCCAGAACCGGAAGACATCAGTAGTGTATGGAGAGGGCCACTCAGCGGGAGCTGTGGGCTGGAACAGAAGGACCCAGGCAACTGTGGGACTGCTCCCTTCAAGCTCACTCCCCTGCTGCCCTCTCTTCTGCCAATGCACCGCTGACAGAAACAAACCAGCAGCAAAAGGTAAGGGGACCCCAGCAACACAGCTCAGAGAAGTCAGCCGTTCAGGCAGCAGAGTGGAGCAGAGAAGGTAGAAAACCACTTTTTGCAACATCCAGTGTAATACAACTGTGTGCTTCACAGGGTCAAGGAGAGGAACCAGTGAGGTGATACACACCCAGCACTCAGAACAGAGTCAGGCTTGTCTGTGAGTGTTCTCCTCCACTGTCATCATTAGCGTCACTGTCATCGTCAGCTCTCCATGCCCCACACTCACTCTCAGCGGCTTGGAACGGTCACTGGCAGGGACAGCATTTCGCCTTTGGTCTCACTTGCCCCCCTTGTCTCCTCCTTCCCTGCTCCTCCAAGGCATCCTGCTCACATCCTGCACCTGCTCTGCCTTCTCGGAGCTGCCCTTCTCGACACAGCTGAACACCTGGACCGAAGGAGCCAGTGTCCACCTTCCTGTCCCCGGAAGCCTTGATGGCATTCTCACCACGTCTTGGTTCCGAGGGCATGATGCCCAGCCAGCAGCCATGATATTCTCCCCGGAGGGCCTCCCAGGACCTGCTCACACTGGCCGGGAGATGCTGGGCACCCAAGGCAGTCTGGTCATTCGAAACGTGACGGCTCTGGACTCGGGCAGCTACACCGTCGTGCTGGAAACCAGCAGGGGGCACAGGAGTGTGACGGAGCAGATCCATGTCAAGAGTGAGTGGGGCCCCACCGTGGGAGGGACTGACTTCTCAGAAAGCGGACCCACTGGACCCCAGAAGAGCCCACCAGCACACATTCTGTGCTAGTTATCAATCGCTCCCCAACAAACCACCAAAACTTAAAATATCAATCACTTATCTAGCTGGATAGTTCTTGTGGTCAGCTGTTGGGGTGTCTGGGTGTTGGCTGGTCCAGAATGGCCTCCTTCATGTGCCTGGCGATGGCCTGGCTGGTGGCTGGAGTGATGGCGGTGAGTGGGCCACAGAGCCTGCTGTCTTCAGCCAGCTGTCCCGGGCTTGTTCACTCAGCAATGAAAGAGGAACAAGAGGTGAGGCTGCAAAACTCCTTCAGGCCCAGGCTGGAAACTGACTGCCATCACTTCCGCCACCTTCTATTGACCAAAGCAAGTCACATGGCCAGCCCAGCTTCAACAGGAGGAAAATAGGTCCCACCTCTCAAGGAGAGGAGTTATAATGTGTCGTAGCTATTTTTTGTCATTGACATTGTGTTAGGTTGTTCTTGCATTGCTATAAAGACATACTTAAGACTGGGTTATTTATTTTATGATTTTTTTAAAAAAGGTTTAATTGGCTCATGGTTTCACAGCTGGAAGCATGGTGCCAGCATCTGCTCAGTTTCTGGGGAGTCCCCAGGGAACTTTTACTCACAGCGGAAGGCAAAGGAGGAGCAGGTGTCTCTCGTGGTGAGAACAGGAGCAAGAGAGTCAGAGGGGAACTGCCGCATTTTACAACAATCAGATCTCACCAGAACTCACTACCATGAGGACAGCACCAAGCCATGAGAGCTCCGCCCCTGTGGCCCAAACACCTTTACCCACGTGCGCTCGGCTCATAGCAAGGGCCCAATCCATGGTCAGGCGCAGTGGCTCACACCTGTAATCCCAGCACTTTGGGAGGCCGAGGCGGGTGGATCACCTGAGGTCAGGAGTTCAAGACCAGCCTGGCCAACATGGTGAAACCTTATCCCTACTAAAAATACAAAAATTAGCTGGGCGTGGTGGTGGGTGCCTATAATCCCAGCTGTAGGGAGGCAGAGGCAGGAGAATCGCTTGAACCCAGGAGAGGTATTTTCCTTAGGAATCCACATGGCTCCTTCCTCTGCTTCTTCAGGACTCTGCTCAAACATTAGCTCCTCAAAGAGGCCCTCCTTGATCTGCTTTACCTGAAACGGGCCTACCCCACCCCCAGTCCAACCCCGCAGCCCTCTGCAGTTTTCCTCACAGCACTTACCACCACCATATGTATTTAGTGGTCTGTTTGTTGACTCTCTCGTCACTCAATCATAAGTTTCATGAGGGCAGTGACTGTGTCTGTTTCATCGCTGCTGAGCCCCCGAGCCCTAGAGCCTCAGAGTCCTAGATTTGGTTCATCTAGATCCAGAGCCGAGGATTTAAGGTCAGATAGTCTGGGAGGTGCAAGGAACTGGAGAATGAGGAAGTCAGGCAGAGAAAGTGGGAAATCATAAGAGCTGTGTTCCCAACCTGGTTACTGTGGGCAGCTAGAGCGCGGTCCCACTGGGGAAGTCAGGGCCCTGCTGTGGAACGACTCTGCAGAGTTATCCCACGTGGCGGCGAGGGATCTGGGGTATTTATACACCAACCTGTGCCCAGCATTGTGGAAGGCTGCTCCCAGGTGTGCTCATTCCCCAGCACTTCCAGCCTGCTGCCTCTGTGGGCAGAATAGGCTTTGGCCACCAGTGAAGACCCTCAGGCAAAGGATGCAGGTGCTGGCCACTGGAAGTGGGAAGGGGAAAGGGTTAGATTGGGGACACGGCACAGACTGGGCTCTTCAAACACATTCTTGGATGAATGAATGAATGAACACATGAAAGAATGAACGTCTCTATGGTAGGCAGAAGACATACCCGGCTTTTCTGAGTGGTCTCCACTCTTGTGGCCTTGTTCCCTGTTTGCACAGACAGCTTCCCACTACCGCAGCTGAAGACATTCCCAGGCGCTTTCCAGGGCGTCATCCAGACTGAGCTCAACTATTCCGTGATCCTGCAGTGGATGGTGATAATGAACCCTGAGCCCGTGGTGAGCTGGACCCTCAATGGGGTGCCCTGCGGGATAGGAGAGAGGCTGTTCATCCGGCGGTTGTCCATGGAGCAGTTGGGCACCTATATGTGCACAGCTACAAACAGCAAGGAACAGCTGGTCTCTGCGCCTGTGACCATCTCACTGCCAAGTGAGTCCCCCACCCCACCCCACCCAAGAGCCCTGCACCCTCTCCAGCCCGGGGCAGCCTTGCTGATTCCATTTAGCCACCTTCTATGAGCAGCCCCTGTGAGACCCTCTATAGGCAAATGTCATTCCAATGTTTAATCCACCTGGTGGGCTATGGATTATTAGGCCACTTTCTTCCTCCTTCTCCTCCTCCTCCTCCTCCTTTTCTTTCTCCTCCTCCTCCTTCTCCTTCTTCTTCTTCCTCTTGAAACAGAGACCTGCTCCATCACCCAGGTTGGAGTGCAGTGGCACGATCTCAACTCACTGCAACCCCTGCCTCCCAGGTTTAAGTGATTCTCATGCCTCAGCCTCCTGAGTAGCTGGGATTACAGGCGTGTGCCACCACACCTGGCCTAGTTTTGTATTTTTAGGAGAGATGGAGTTTCACTGTGTTGGCCAGGCTGCTCTCGAACTCCTGGGCTTGAGTGATCCGCCCACCTTGGCCTCCCAAATAGCTGGGATTACAGAAGTGAGCCACCACGCCCAGCCAGTTAGGCCATTTTCAGATGGCAGGCTCAAAGAGGTTAACCACAATGAAAGCCCAGCTCAGGATCTGGACCAGGCTACCTGGGTCCTTGGCTCCAACCATTTGCTGGCTACATGAACATGGGAAGCCTCTTTGCCTCTCTGAGTCTTAGCACATACCTGCAAAAAATGCAGATCCTAGTCTAAGAAGTGGGCCAGGCACAGTGGCTCACACCTGTAATCCCAGCACTTTGGGGAGGCTGAGGTGGGAGGATCACTCGAGCCCAGGAGTTAGAGACCAACCTGGACAACATAGTGAGACTCTGTCTCTACAAAAAAAAAAAAACTAAAAAATTAATTAGGCATTGTGGCACCACCTGTAGTCCCAGCTATTTGGGAGGCTGTGATGGGAGGATCAGCTGAGCCCAGGAGTTTAAGGCTGCAGTGAGCTGTGATCGCACCACTGCACTCCAGCCTGAGTAACGGAGGAAGACTCTGCCTCCAAAAATAAAAATAAAAAATCATCATCCTCTAAGGAGTGGTTCAAAGCAATGGCTTTGGAATTTGAATCCCTGGCTGTGTGACTCTGGGCTAGTGTCTTGACTTCTCTGTGCCTCAGTTTCCTCATCCATAAGACTGGGAAGATAACATGCCTGCCCCAGAGTATAGTTGTGAACATTCAATGAGATAAGCAGATGAATAGCTTGAAACAATAATGCCTAGCACTACTGAACACTAATGGGTGCTCGGTAACCGTGAGCCAATAGCACTGTTGAATTTCACACTGTCATTATTCATTGTAACTGTTACCATATGCAGTAGGTATATGGAGACCTGGGTGGCAGTCAAACTGACAGCAGGTTGTTGGGGTCAGAGAAGTGGTTTGCGACCCGGTCAAAACTTAGTTCAGTCCCTGTTCCCATGCCTTCCTGGCTGGGTAACTTAGGGCAGTCCCTGTTCCCATGCCTTCCTGGCTGGGTAACTTAGGGCAAGTGACTTCCCCTTTCTGAGCCCGTTTCCTCGTGTGTATAATGGGGGTAATCCTATATACCGCTGCAGGGTTGTTGGAAGAAACACAGGCCGGGTGTGGTGGCTCACACCTGTAAACTCAACACTTTGGGAGGCCGAGGCAGGCGGATCACCTGAGATCAGGAGTTCAAGACCAGCCTGACCAACATGGAGAAACCCCGTCTCTACTAAAAACACAAAAAATTAGCACAGGCCATTTGGAGGTCGAAGTGGGTGGATTACTTGAGGCTAGGAGTTCAAGACCAGCCTGGCCAACATGGTGAAACCCCGTCTTTATTAAAAATACAAAAATTAGGCTGGGCGCGGTGGCTCATGCCTATAATTGCAGCACTTTGGGAGGCTGAGGCGGGTGGATCACGAGGTCAAGAGATTGAGACCATGCTGGTCAACAAGGTGAAACACCGTCTCTCCTAAAAATACAAAAATTAGCTGGCATGGTGATGCGCGCCTGTAGTCCCAGCTACTTGGGAGGCTGAGGCAGCAGGAGAATTGCTTGAACCCAGGAGGCGGAGGTTGCAGTGAGCCAAGATCGCGCCATTGCACTCCAACCTGGGTGACAAGAGCAAAACTCTGTCTCAAAAAAAAAAAAAATACAAAAATTAGCTGGACATGGTGGCCTACACCTGTAATCACAGCTACCGGGGTGGCTGAGACACAAGAATTACTGGAACCCAGGAGGTGGAAGTTACAATTAGCGAAGATTACGCCACTCTACTCTAGCCTGGGCAACAGAATGAAACTCTGTCTCCAATAAAAAAAGGAATTATGCAATCCAAGGGGAGAAATGACATAAATGCATTCCAGAGAGAGAGTGCAGCATGGACAGGCCTGGAGGCAAAAGAGAAAGAAAAGAGTGAGCTTGGGAAATTGAGTGGAGTCCAGGGTGGGGGCTATAAAGGCAGGGCAATGAGAGAGATGAGGCTGGCCAGGTGGCAGGGCCCTGAAGGCTGACGTGAGGAAATGACTTCTGCTCCAGGGTGCTGGGGAGCCACAGCAGGGTTCTGAGCAGGGGAGGAACAGGGTCAGGTGTGAGCTTTAGAAAGATCCTCCTGGCTTCCAGGTGGAAGGCAGGTGGGTGGGCACTGGACTGGAGCAGGAGAGCAGGGAGGAGATGGGGCTGGAGAGCTGGAGGATGGAAGAGAAGGATGGATTGAAGAGACACTTGGGAGGGGGAATGGCGGGAGGGAGGGGAGCACAGGGAGGGTGGGCAGATGGCTCCTCCAATCTCACTCCTCCTTGGTCCACTGAAGCCATCGTGCAGCCCACAGAACCAGAGCCCATGGAGCCAGACCCCACTCTGTCCCTGTCCGGAGGTGCTGCCATTTCGCTCATCGTGGCTGGAATCCTGGGAGCTGGGGTGCTGATTGGAGGCTTGTGTTTCACCATCATCCGGAGCCTAAGGTACTTCCAGCCCTCACCCCCCTGCACTGGGCAACATCCACTCAGCCCCCATGAGGCACTGAGCTGGCCCAACAAGGAAACAGAGATTAAACCGACAGCCCCATCAAGGAGGGTGACAGGGACCCCTGATGAGCCCATCTGACTCATTGGTTTCCAAAATGGGATCACAGCAACAAAGAGATAGAAGAGGACACTAGAGCTGGGCTGCCTGGGTTCAAGTCCCAGCTCCGTAACTTACCATCAGTGAGGCTGTGGGCAAGCCACTTCCCTTCTCTGTGCCTCAGTTTGCTCATCCGCAAAATGGTGATAATACTGGCACCTGACTCCAGGTTGTTGTGAATGAATATTTCTTCTTCTTTTTTTTTTTTTTTTTGAGACAGAGTCTCACTCTGTCACCTGGGCTGGAAATGGTACCATCTCGGCTCACAGCAACCTCTGCCTCCTGGGTTCAAGCAATTCTCCTGCCTCAGCCTCCTGAGTAGCTGGGATTACAGGTGTATGCCACCACGCTGGCTAATTTTTGTATTTTTAGTAGAGACAGGGTTTCTCCACGTTAGTCAGGCTGTTCTTGAACTCCTGATCTCATGATCTGCCTGCCTCAGCCTCCCAAAGTGCTGGGATTACAGGTGTGAGCCACTGCGCCCAGCTAGGGACCGAATATTTCTGAGAAACTTAAAGCAGTGCCTGAAATGTGGTAAGTACATGTTTGTCCCCTCTACACATATCTGCAGAGTGACCAGGCACTGAGGATACCAAGGGAAGAAACTGTGGAAAGTCCCTGCCCTCATGGAACTTGCATCCTGGTCGCAGATACCGTCAGGAAACACAGTGAACAAGTGAAATATACACAGTACAGTGGATGGGCCAATATACTACCTATATTTCTATATATAGGATATGGGATCGCTTGAACCTGGGAGGCGGAGGTTGCAGTGAACCAAGATAGCACCCGTACACTCTCGCCTGGGAGACAGAGTGAGACTTTGTCTCCAAAAAAGAAAAAAAGAAAAGAAAACCCAGGAATATGATTATACCTCCTTCCAAGGGTAGGAGTGAGGATTAAGTAAAATGGTGGGAGTCATGAGCTGTGAACCGTGTCTGGAACGTGGTGAGCCTTCAGTAAACCTCAGCCTATGCTGAAGATGATTGTATTAGTTTTCTCCAGCTGCTGTAACAAAATGTCACAGACTGAGGGGCTTAAACAACAGAAGTGTATTTTCTCACAGGTCTGGAGGCTGCAAGTCCCAGATTAAGGTGGAAGCCAGTTTGATGTCCCTGGGTGCCCCTCTCCGTGGCTTGCAGAAGGCCACCTTCTCGCTGTGTCCTCACATGGCCTTTCCTCTGCGCTCATTCCTGGTGTCTCTTTCTCTTCGTATGAGGACACCAGTCTTAGTGGATCCAGGCCCCACGCTTATGACCTCATTTAACTTTGTTATGCCTGAAGAACCTGTCTCCAAATATGGTCGCATTGGAGGGCTAAGACTACATATTAATTTGGGGGTGGATAATAATTCAGTTAATAATAGTTTCTCTCTGTCTCTCTCTCTCCACTGCAGACGGAGAATATCCAGCTGCAACGTGGGCAACTCTCCCGTCAGCTGAAGAGGTAATACCAGGAAGGGTGTGAAGGAAATCCTAGGTTTGGGAACAGAATGAGGTTCCTGGGCAGAGACTCCATATGTGACTTCCTCCCTGCTGCTTCCCTGGCCGTTTGTCTGTGAGATGTTCCCCTCCTGTGGAAAGCTCCAGGACGTGCTTTTCTCTCCTTTTGCCAACGGCCAGCACCCCCTGTGCCCAGCTCAGCACATGCCTGGAATCCACCTAAACAAGCAGTTTATATTTCATAAACCCCTTGGGCTGCCTGCAAAAGAAACTCCCTAAAGTAGCTCAGGAAAAAACAAAATGAACAGTTTAATATAAGGATCTATGAAATTTTCCGGAGATCCATAGGTGTGACAGTCAGCATCTGCTGTGTAGCAGCCTGCCTCCCCAAAACTGAGTGGCTTGAAACAACAGCCATTTATTAGCTTGCAATTTCATGGGTCATCCATGCGGGCTGGCCTCAGCTGCGCAGTTCTGTTCTCTGCAGGGCTCCCTCCTGCATCTGGGCTCAGTTGGCAGATTGCCCAGGGGCTATCTGGACTAGGATAGCTTCATAGCCGGGACAACTGGCCTCTCCTCCACATTGTCTCTCATCCTCCAGCAGAGTGACCCAAGCTTGTTCACATGGCAGAGACAGGATTCCAAGAGGAAGAGCAGAAACCACAAGGCACCTCAAGTCTCAATCTCAAAATTGGCATGCCATCACTTCTGCCACAGAAGGGACTTCATTGGCGAAAGTCACGTGCCTGGCCAAATTCAAGGGGTGGGGAAGTTGATTCCGCCTCTTACTAGGAAGGGAAAAACCTGTGACCTGTTTTGCAATCTACCAACAAATGTGGAAGTACACCGCTCTCTCTCCCAGCCTCCCACCACACACACTTCACCCCCACCCCAAGCTCTTACAAGTCTTTTCCCCCTACACGCGGAATTCATAGTTGTCTGTGTCTCTCTCTGCAGCTGGGCACTTTGTACTTCTCTATCCACATGGAAAAAGCCTCCATCCCACAGCTTCTGAGTCCACAACATCTCTGTTCAAGGGAACAACCCAGCTTAACCAGACTCCCTTTGCCCTGTTTCTGAAACACCTGAAGAAAGCATCTGATGGGTTGACCCGGAGCCATCCATGGTCCCATCGCTGTGACACATTGTGCAAGCAAAGCACCAGGGTCTCATCCCTGTCTGTGGAAGCTCAGTGCTTAGAAAACAGGTGGCAGGTTTTACCTGGGAAATTGCCCAGACCCCAAAATATGTCTATTACACATGCTGCTCTTTTTTTCCTTTTTGCTCTTTTTCAAAAAGAACCAAAACATAAATAAAAACACCACCACGTCTGAGTGGTTTCTCATGAAGCCTCTCTTCCTGAGAAGTGGGGAGATGGTTCCCAGAAATCCATGGCATGTTTGCAAATAAGATCAGCCTTGGAGCTTGGTGTTGCTCACGTTTAATGCCCCTCTCGCAGAGGATCCAGACAGATGGCAGGCACGGAGCACACAGGTGTGGTTAAATGCTTCCGGGGATACAGCTCACATCTGAGGAACATTCGGTGCTTCTGTGACCAACACAGCCACCTAAACAGCATTATGCTCAGCAGTAATAGTAGCGGACCTCGGTCCACGTCGTGTGTGTTGGGCGCTCTCCATGTGCCCGCCATTGACTATTCACCTTAAGTGATTAATGTATCAGAGCCGGCTGGGCGCAGGGGCTCACACCTGTAATCCCAGCACTTTGGGAGGCCGAGGCAGGTGGATCACCTGACGTCAGGAGTTTCAGACCAGACTGGCCAACATAGTGGAACCCCATCTCTACTAAAAACACAAAAATCAGCCAGATGTGGAGGCATGTGTCTATAATCCCAGCTACTCAGGAGGCTGAGGCAGGAGAATCACTTGAACCCAGGAGGCAGAGGTTTCAGTGGGACGAGGTCATGGCCACTGCACTCCAGCCTCGGTGACGGAGCGAGAGTCTGTCTTAAAAAAAAAAAAATTAAGAGACGTTAGCTAGGTGTGGTGGCTCATGCCTGTAATCCCAGCATTTTGAAAGGCCAAGGCAGGTGGATCACTTGAGGTCAGGAATTCAAGACCAGCATGGCACCATGGTGAAAATCCATCTCTAATCGAAATACAAAGATTAGCAGGGTGTGGTAGTGGGCATCTGCAGTCCAAGGTACTTGGGAGACTGAGGCATGAGAATAGCTTGAACCCAAGAGGCAGAGGTTGCAGTGAGCAGAGATCACGCCACTGCACTCTTGCCCGAGAGACAAAGCAAGACTGTCTCAAAACAAAAAGGAAGAGACATAGCATAAGAAAATTGAGGGCTGGGCTCATGCCTGTAATCCCAGCACTTTTGGGAGGCTGAGGCAGGTAGATCACCTGAAGTCAGGAGTTCGAGGCCAGCCTGGCCAACATGGTGAAACTTCGTCTCTACTAAAAATACAAAAATTAGCCAGATGTGATGGTGGGTGCCTGTGATCCCAGCTACTCAGGAGGTTGGAGCAGGAGAATATCCTGAAGCCGGGAGGCGGAGGTTGCAGTGAGCCAAGACTGCACCACTGCACTCCAGCCTGTCTCAAGAAAGAAAGAGAGAGAGACAGAGAGAGAGGAAAGGAGGGAAGAAATAAAGAAAAAAGAAAAGAAAGAAAAGGAAAGAAAGAAAATTGAGAAGCCCACAGCTGGCACTTGTTCTGGTTAATCTGTAACTAAGTAGATATCACATATTTGCATCTAGATAGATGTCTTTAGGTATTACTGATCTCAACCCAGACCCCAGGAGCAGGCTCTTGGGTCTCACACAAGATAGAATTCAGGACAAATCACAGCATGCTGTGAAGTTAAAATAGCTTATTAGAGACTATTCTATTACAGAGCAGGATGTCCTCAGAAAGAAAGAGGAGGAACGCCCCCACCTCAAATACAACACTTGCTTATATAGGATAACAGAGCTAAGAATGATGGTTATGTTTTTGTTTTTTGAGACACAGTCTCACTCTGTCATCCAGGCTGAAGTGCAGTGGCACAATCTCAGCTCATCGCAGCCCCGACCTCCCAGGCTCAAGCAATCCTCCCACCTCTGCCTCCAGAGTAGGTGAGATCGTAGCTGTAGGTACGTGCCACCATGCCAGGCTCATTTTTGTATTTTTTGTAGAAACAGGGTTTTGTCATGTTGCCCAGGCTAGTCACAAACTCCTGGGCGCAAGCGATCTGCCTGCCTCGGCCTCCCAAAGTGCTGGGATTACAGGCCTGAGCCACCATGCCGGGCCAAATAATATTCTTACATGCTTTATTACAAAGGCTTGTGATCAGCTTGTGACAGGTTATTAGCATGTTATTCTTTTGTGTAACTATTAATTTCAGCAAGAATTTATGGATATGCTATTACCTTTCAAGCAAAACCTAGTCTTTTTTTTTTTTTTTTGATACGAAGTCTCACTCTGTTGTGGGAGCTGTGGCTCGATCTCGGCTCACTGTAACCTCCACCTGCTGGGTTCAAGCGATTTCCTGCCTCAGCCTCCCTAGTAGCTGGGACTACAGGCACCCGTCACCATGCCTGGCTAATTTTTTTGTATTTTTTTTTTTTTTCGTTGAGACAGGGTTTCACTATGTTGACCAGGCTGGTCTTGAACTCCTGACCTCATGACCCACCCACCTTGGCCTCCCAAAGTGCTGGGATTACAGGCGTGAGCCACCACGCTCAGCCCAAGCAAAACCTATTCTTAATCTCGCAGTGTGTTTTGTGCTTAAGGTATCAGGACACCAAGACATTTCTTGAAGTTCTTGGTCTTGTTTAGTGAGTAAGTACCATTAACTTGTTCCCTCAGTGATAAATATCTTGGGACCAAGAATGTTCAACTTCCTGGGAATGTAACTCAGAAGGTTTTTCTTACTTGGCCTTTATTTAAGATGGAGCCACCCTGGTTTGGACGTCTCTGGCTAGGTACTCTCTGCCTCCCTGGCATCTGTGTGTGCCATGACGTCTCTGGCTAGGTACTCTCTGCCTCCCTGGCATCTGTGTGTGCCATGACGTCTCTGGCTAGGTATTCTCTGCCTCCCTGGCATCTGTGTGTGCCATGACGTCTCTGGCTAGGTATTCTCTGCCTCCCTGGCATCTGTGTGTGCCATGATGACTCTGGCTAGGTACTCTCTGCCTCCCTGGCATCTATGTGTGCCATGACATCTCTGGCTAGGTACTCTCTGCCTCCCTGGCATCTATGTGTGCCATGACGTCTCTGGCACAGGTATTCTCTGCCTCCCTGGCATCTATGTGTGCCATGACGTCTCTGGCACAGGTATTCTCTGCCTCCTTGGCATCTGTGTGTGCCATGATGTCTCTGGCTAGGTATTCTCTGCCTCCCTGGCATCTGTGTGTGCCATGATGTCTCTGGCTAGGTACTCTCTGCCTCCCTGGCATCTATGTGTGCCATGACGTCTCTGGCTAGGTATTCTCTGCCTCCCTGGCATCTATGTGTGCCATGACGTCTCTGGCACAGGTATTCTCTGCCTCCCTGGCATCTATGTGTACCATGACGTCTCTGGCACAGGTATTCTCTGCCTCCCTGGCATCTGTGTGTGCCATGACGTCTCTGGCTAGGTACTCTCTGCCTCCCTGGCATCTGTGTGTGCCAGGACGTCTCTGGCACAGGTATTCTCTGCCTCCCTGGCATCTATGTGTGCCATGATGTCTCTGGCACAGGTATTCTCTGCCTCCCTGGCAGCCATATGTGCTATGATGTATTGATGCAGGGCAGGATCTTGGCTTTCCTTGGGAAAGAATCCAAGAGCGAGCCAGTAGCAGAAGAAAACAGCTTTGGCCGGGCACAGTGGCTCACACCTGTAATCTCAGCACTTATGAGAAGCTGAGGTGGGAGGAGTGCTTGAGCCCATGAGTTCATGACCAGCCTGGGCAACATAGTGAGACCCTATCTTTACAGAAAACAAAAAAAAAAAAGAAGAAAACAGCTGTATTGAGGTGGCTGTGTTACAGCTCTGTGACTTCCCACAGAGCAGAGATACCCTGTAAGCAGCTCAGGGGCAGTTTTTGCAGGGTTTTTTATTTAAACCCACTGTAATGACATGCTAATTAAGGGGTGAGTTATTGAGAAATTTTGGCAGGGTGAGGTAGCTCACGTCTGTAATCCCAGCACTTTGGGAGGCTGAGGTGGGTGGATCACCTGAGGTTCGGAGTTCGAGACCAGCCTGGCCAACATGGTGAAACCTCATCTCTACTAAAAATACAAAAATTAGCCAGGCGTGGTGGTAAGTGCCTATAGTTCCAGCTATGCGGGAGACTGAGACACAAGAATCACCTGAACCTGGGAGGCAGAGGTTGCAGTGAACCAAGATCATGCCACTGTACTTCAGCCTGGGCAACACAGCAAGACTGTCCCCAAAAAAAATATTTTTAAATTTCTTAAAAGAGCAGCCAGGTCTCCAGAGTGATATTTACCCGGCGTTGCACCAAAGAACTTTAATGTATCATCCTCACTTATTTCTCTGAACCCTAGAAAGCAGGTGCTGTTATCAGCTCCATTTAACTTCCTAGTTTGAGTTACACAGCCTTGGCCCTGCTGCCATGAAACTCACAGCCTGGGGCCGGGCGCGGTGGCTCAAGCCTGTAATCCCAGCACTTTGGGAGGCCGAGGCGGGTGGATCACGAGGTCAAGCGATCGAGACCACCCTGGTCAACATGGTGAAACCCCGTCTCTACTAAAATTACAAAAAATCAGCTGGGCATGGTGGCGCGTGCCTGTAGTCCCAGCTACTCAGGAGGCTGAGGCAGGAGAATCACTTGAACCCAGGAGTTGGAGGTTGCAGTGAGATGAGATTGGCCACTGTACTCCAGCCTGGAGAGCAAGACTCTTTCTCAAAAAAAAAAGAAAAGAAAAGAAAGAATGAACCAGAGATGTGGAAGGAGAGAAAGAAGGAAAACAACCATGGTGAGGCACCACTACACCCCAGGTAGGTGCGGGCACGGTGCGGACGGTGGGGAAATGAGAGGGGTCGTGCTTCTCTGAGGCAGGGCTGTGGGAAGGACTGGCAAGCCTATGTTTCCAGGCTTTTCTTTTCCAGCTCTTTCATGCGTATCCTCAGAGTACAGAAGATGAAAGCTTTGCCCTGACAAAACCGCCAGCCCCATTCTCTATCTCTCACCACAGTGGCGCCATAAAGAGGGCAGGACATGAGTTACACAGCCTTGGACCAGCTGCCGTGAAACTTACAGCCTGGTAGGCGACAGTCTCATCCCTACAGAATGACAAACTCACTACCATTTTCTTGTTGTTTTGGTTTTTTTGAGACAGAGTCTCACTCTGTTGCCCAGGCTGGAGTGCTTCAAGCGATTCTCCTGCCTCAGCCTCCCGAGTAGCTGGGATTACTACAGGTGCCCTGTACACGGGCACCACCATGCCAGGCTAATTTTTATAATTTTAGTAGAGTTGGGGTTTCACCATGTTGACCAGGATGGTCTCATTCTCTTAACCTTGTGATCTGCCTGTCTTGGCCTCCCGAAGTGCTGGGATTACAGGTGTGAGCCCCCACGCCCAGACATCACTACCATTTTCTGTGTGAGCAACATGAGACTTAGCTCTGATGCAGCCTCTGCCCTGCATAAAACTCTCTATAGCTCCCTACTGCCTGTGGCAATAGTTCCTAATCAGGAGTGCCCAGCAAGGTAATAAGGCACCCCTGATTAGAAATAAGTTAGTGGCTCACTGCAGCCTCTAACTCCTGGACTCAAACAGTCCTCTTGCCTCAGCCTACCAAAGTGCTGACATTTCAGGTGTGAGCCACCATGCCATGCCATGCCAACCCTTTTCGGATGAAGAATCATAAGTCCCAGGAGACATGAATAATAATTGCTGCCATTTGTTTGGCAGTTAAATAAATAACTTTTTAAACCACGTAAGTATTTTTTTTTTTAGACAGAATCTCACTCTGTCACCCAGACTGGAATGCAGTGGTGTGATCTTGGCTAACTGCAATGTCCGCCTCCTCAGCTCAAGTGATTCAGCCTCCCAAGTAGATGGGATTACAGGTTCCTGCCACTACTGCCCAGCTAATTTTTGTGTTTTTTGTAAAGACAGGGTTTCACCATGTTGGCCAGGCTGGTCTTGAATTCCTGACCTCAAATGATCCACCCACCTCTGCTTCCCAAAGTGCTGGGATTATAGATGTGAGCCACCACGCGCAGCCACATGTAATTTATTTCTGAATAACTTACTTAATTATCACCACATGTTTTTAAAAGCTCCTATTTTGTGGATGAGATAAAAGAGGCAAGAGAAGCAATACTGGTTGCTTAAGATTCCCAGCTACCAATGGGTGGAAGCAGAATTTGAACAAAGGGAGTCGCTGGAGCCCTTGTCCCCAGTCTCCTCTTCTTGCTCTCCAGGTCTTTCTCCCTTTCTTCCCTGCTCCCAGGCCTCCTACATCGCACCCTTCTGGAAAAAGCTTCACATCTGACATTTCCCTTTTTGGGGTGGACAGAGTCTCACTCTATCACCCAGGCTGCAGTGACGCACTCATCACTCACTGCAGCCTCAAACTCCGGGGCTTGAGGGATCCTCCAACCTCAGCCTCCCAAGGAGCTGGGACTACAGGCATGTGCCACCCACCTGGCTCATTTTTTAATTTTTTGTAGAGATGTTGGCGGGGGGGGGTCTCACTATGTTGCCCAGGCTGGTCTCAAACACCTGGCCTCCCAGCAATCTTCCCACCTCAGCCTCCCAAAGTGCTAGGATTGCAGGCATGAACCGCAATGCCCAGCTGCACATCTGAAATTTTTAAACTTTCAGTCACTGCCATGAGCATTCCTGGGTAGAAGCCACTCCATGCCCTTACTTTGCTGGCCTGGGGGCTGGACAACTTAGCAATATAATCTAAACCAGGAATGCATGTCCTTTGACCTAGCAAATCTGTTTCTGGGAATAAATATGACAGACACTGTCACATAGATGGGAAATGCCATGGACATGGTGACCCAGGGAAGCACAGACTGCAAATACAAAAGTGTCTGGAAACACCCAAAAAGGCCCATCCCCTGAGGACAGTTTCAAAAATGACTCTGCAGTCACGCAATGTCCTACTACACATCTGTGAATGAATGAATGAGGTAGCTCAATATGTCTGCCTATGGGAAAATCACCAAGATATGTTGCTAAGTGAAAAACAGAAAGAGACAGAACAATGCTACCATTTTATTTTTTTAATGGGAGAGAGAAGAATAAGGAAATGGATTCATATTTGCTTAGTTTTACAAGCTTCTTGGCAATCCTTTGGATCCAGAGGTTTGAAAACCACAGCATGAAAAGGATACCCACTGGGCGCGGTGGCTCACGCCTATAATCCCAGCACTTTGGGAGGCTGAGGAGGGCGGATCACCTGAGCTCAGGAGTTTGAGACCAGCCAGGCCAACATGGTGAAACCCTGTTTCTACTAAAAACACAAAAAATTAGCTGGATATGGTGGTGCAGGCCTCTAATCCCAGTTACTTGGGAGGAGGCGCAAGAATCGCTTGAGCCTGGGAGGCGGAGGTTGCAGTGAGCTGGGATCGTGCCATTGCACTCCAGGCCGGGCAAAAGACTCTGTCTCAAAACAAACAAATACAAAAAAAGAGGATACCCACTGGAGATATCCATTCACTATTTATTCAGAGGATATTTTAGCACTTGAGTGAAGAAAATATTTACAACTTGTCCAAATACTCAAGGAATTTAGACTCTTGACAGGGAAAAACAGAAGCAAGCAGATATGCCCCAAACCAAACTTGCTGTTTCTGTAAGCTTCAGGGCAGCCTCTGACCCTCTGGGACCTGAGAGGATACCCTGGAGCCACAGGAGCTGGGGAGCCCTGAGAGGTGGGGGAACCCCAGAGGGTGACGGCATCATCCAGAGGAGGAACATGACGGCTACAGATTCCCCATTTGGAAATAGCAGAACAAGAGTGACAGAAAATTCAGAGCTTTCCAAGAGACCAGCCTCCATCCACGTTTCCATTTAGAAATTCACCTACATTCTGGATGGGCGCGGTGGCTCACACCTATAATCTCAGCACTTTGGGAGGCCGAGGCAGGTGGATCACGAGGTCAGGAGATCAAGACCATCCTGGTCAACATGGTGAAACCTCGTCTCTACTAAAAATAAAAGAAAAAATTAGCTGGGCATGGTGACGCGTGCCTGTAATCCCGCTACTCAGGAGGCTGAGGTGGGAGAATTGCTTGAACCCAGGAGGTGGAGGTTGCGGTGAGCCGAGATCACACCATTGCACTCCAGCCTGGGTAACAACAGTGAAACTCCATCTCAAAAAAAAAAATTAAAAAAAGAAAGAAATTCACCTACATTCGTCCAGGGTGAGAGACCCCAACCATCAGATGTGTCCTGAGCAAGCCTCAGATCCAAGTCAAAGAGAGCACCCGGGGACAGAAACCTCCACGCCAGCCAAAACCCAAAGGAGGGACTTTACAGAAAGCTACGGGAATGTGGGGCCGGGTACAGTGGCTCCCGCCTGTAATTCCAGCACTGTGGGAGGCCAAGGTGGAAGGATCGCTTAAAGCCAGGTGTTCAAGACCAGCCTGAGCAACATAACGAGACTCCGTCTCTACCATAAATTTAAAAACTAGCTAGGAGTTATTGCATACGCCTATGGTCCCAACTACCGGGGAGGTGGAGGCAGGAGTGGTTGACCCCAGGAGGTGGAGGCTGCAATGAGCGATGATGGTGCCACTGTACTCCAGCCTCAGTGAAATAGTGAGACCCTGTCTAAAAATAATTTTAAATAAGAAGGATATAAGAATTGCCTGAACCCAGGAGGTGGAGGTTTCGGTGAGCCGAGATCGCGCCATTGCACTCCAGCCTGGGTAACACAAGCGAAACTCCGTCTCAAAAAAAAAAAATAATAATAATAATAATAATAATCGCCACTGCTACTGCGCTGTTGTTGGTATACCTGCTTTTTATTTAGTTCAGACCTGAAATTGAGCTAAGCAGTTTCTTGTTTAAGCTTTTTACAAACCACGATGTGAGGCAAGTACTATTAGTATGCTTTTTCTTTTTTCTTTTTGAGATGGAGTCTCGCTCTGTCGCCCAGGCTGGAGTGCAGAGGCCGGATCTCCTCTCGTGCACACCTAGGGAACCAGAGAGCGTCAGTCTCCAGACTGAGCGTCCGGAGAGACATGCGCAGATTGGGGCCCCCGCGCCCGGAGGCACCCGGCTCCCAACTCGCCTCCTCGCCAGTCACTCGTCTGGAGCTTAAAGAAGCGGGTATTGGAACGATCCAAGATGGCCGATCGCTAACATCCCGGGATTGCAGCTCTCAGGGAAGGCGCGGAGAACTAGAGGACGCCACACTTTCAGACAAAGTCTGGTCGCTCACGGAGCAGAAGATCCCCCAGTGGTGGAAACACACGGGTCGCCAGCGCGACTCTCGTGGTAGGTGCAGCGGTTCCGCCGGCACCTCGGCGCGGCAGCTCTCGGAGCAGAGTAAACGGGACCGCTTCCCCTTCTGACCGAGGTTTGGAGCCCCGGGAAGGCAGAGTCGCCTACTACGGAAACAAGAAGGAAGCCCGACAGGAGAATCCTGGGCAGAAAAGCACCATCAGTTTTAACGCCGCTGCTCTGGCCCTGGGAACTAACAACCTGGACGTCCACTCAAGAGACCTAATCTGAAAGTTGGTAATTTCAAAGACGAGAGGAGGATAAATTTACAATGACGGGAAGAAACCAGCGTAAAAAAGCTGAGAATACTCAAAGTCAGAACGCCTCTCCCTCTAAAGATGATCACAGTTCCACATCAACAATGGAACAAGGCTTGATGGAGAACGAGCGCCTCCTGATGACAGAATCACTCTTCAAGGAATGGATAATAACAAACTTCGGTGAGTTAAAAGAACATGTTGTAGCCCAACGTAAAGAAACTAGGAACTTTGACAAAAGGCTTGATGAAATCCTATTGAGAATAGACAACTTAGAGAGGAGTATGAGTGAATTAATGGAACTGAAGAATACAATACAGGAACTCCGAGAAGTATGCACAGGTTTAAACACTCGAATTGTTCAAGCAGAAGAAGGGATATCAGAGGTCAAAGTCCAACTTAATGAAATAAAACGTGAAGAAAAGATTAGAGAAAAAAGGATAAAAAGGAATGAGCAAAGTCTCCAAGAAATGTGGGACTATGTGAAAAGACCAAATTTACGTTTGATAGGTGTACCTGAATGCAACGGAGAGAATGAATCCAAGCTGGAAAATACCCTTCAGGATATTATTCAGGAAAATTTTCCTAAACTAGCAAAGCAGGTCAACATTCAACCCCAGGTAATACAGAGAACACCACAGAGATATTCCTCAAGAAGAGCAACCCCAAGGCACATAATCGTTAGATTCACCAGGGTTGAAACGAAGGAGAGGATACTAAGGGCAGCCAGAGAGAAAGGTCGGATAACCCACAAAGGCAAGCCTATCAGACTTACAGCAGATCTCTCTGCAGAAACTCTACAGGCCAGAAGAGAGTGGGGGCCAATATTCAACATCCTCAAAGAACAAAACCTTGAGCCCAGAATTTCATATCCAGCCAAACTAAGCTTCACAACTGAAGGAAAAATAAAATCTTTTATGAACAAGCAAGAACTCAGAGATTTTATTACCACCAGGCCTGCTTTACAAGAGCTTCTGAAAGAAGCATTACACACAGAAAGAAACAACCAGTATTAGACTTTCTAAAAATACACCAAAAAGTAAAGAGCACCAACATAAAGAAGAATTTACACCAACACATGGATAAAACAGCCAGTCAACATCAAATGGCAGTAACCCTAAATTTAAATTGACTAAATTCCCAATCAAAAGACACAGCCAAAACCCAACGGCATGTTACATCCAGACCTGTTTCACATGCAAGGATACACAAAGAATCAAAACAAAGGGATGGAGAAAGATTTACCAACCAAATGGAGAGCAAAAATAAATAATAAATAAATAAAAAGCAGGAGTTGCAATTCTTGTATCGGATAAAATAGATTTTAAAGCAACAAAGATATAGTGGTAAAAGGATCAATGCAACAACAAGAGCTAATGATCCTAACACCCAGATAGGAGACTTAGATTCAATGAGACAGAAAATTAATAAGGATATCAAGGACTCGAACTCAGATCCAGAACAAGTAAACTTAATAAATATTTATAGAGCCCTCCACTTCAAATACACAAAATATACATTCTTGTCAATACCACATCACACCTACCCATTAGTTTAAATGAAACATTGATTGGCCATTATTAATACCCAATTTTTTTCAAAATAAAGCAATATTTCCATTTACTCTCCCTCTTTCTCTTCCTCTTTCTTTCTCTCCTTTACTTTTTTTCTTTTTCTTTCCTTCTCTCAAAAAAAAAAAAAAAAAAAAAAAAAAGAAGCGGGTATTCCCCCTTCCCAGGACGCGGACAGAGCCGCCCCGCGGGGATTCCAGGACCCGAGCTCCCGGATCTGGACTCGCAGCAGCTGCGGCAGAGCGAGCGCGCCGGGGAGCGTGGAGGCGGTGCCCCCGCCGGGGCCCAGATGCCCAGAGTAGCTGGCACGGCCAGAGCCATGGCCGCCGCGTGGCCGCTGCTGCTGCTGGCTCTGCTGGTGCTGTCCCAGTCACGCCCGGGAACCGGTGAGTGACCCCCGCGCAGTCCGGCGGCCCAGTCCTCACACCCAGCTCCGCAACCCGACCGGGCGATCGGCACCCCGAGTCCCCGAAGGTGACGGCGCGGCCTGGCGCCACCCAACCCCCATCTCTGCCCCGGGGTTGGAAGGAACAGGAGGAGAGGGCAGGACCCTCCTTTTGGCCACCCGGATAGCAGTCTGAGTTGGGTTTAGAACTTCCTGGAAAGCGGCGGGAACACGGGGCAAGGCAGGACCCTCCTCTTAGCCACCCGGATGGTGGTGGGGGTTAACTGGGTACAGAAATTCCTCGAAATTGGCAAGAACACCGGCTGGGCCCCCCGGGAAAGAGGATGGAGTTGGGTACAGAAATTTTCCCAAAATGGCAAATGAATCATGACAAATCAGCAGACGGTGATTCAAGCGAATTACCTCACAGGCTCCGGCTTAACGACTCTCAGGTCACACCCCCGCTGGGTGTGCTGCTGCGTCTGCTGTGTCTGGGCGGAGAAGGTGGTTGATGTTGGGGAGGAGGACAGTGGGCGACACTTGACACCATTCCCCTTCTGACCCCCAAAGTCTGGCTGGCCATTCATTCATTTTGTTTTGTTTTGTTTTGTTTTTTTGAGACAGAGTCTCACTCCATCACCCAGGCTGGAGTGCAGTGTCCTGATCCCCACTCACTGCAGCCTCCGCCTCCTGGGTTCAAGCAATTCTCCTTCCTCAGCCTTCCGAGTAGCATGTGCTACCACACCTGGCTAATATTTTTTCTTATCTTTTTTTTTTTTTTTTTTTTGAGACAGAGTCTCACTCTGTCGCCCAGCTGGAGTGCAGTGGCGCTATCTCTGCTCTCTGCAACCTCCACCTCCCGGGTTCAAGCGATTCTTCTGTCTCAGCCTCCCGAGTAGCTGGGATTACAAGCAGCTGCCACTAAACCCAGCTAATTTTTTGTATTTTTAGTAGAGACGGGGTTTCGCCATGTTGGCCAGGCTGGTCTCGGACTCCTGACCTCATGATTGCCCCACCTTGGCCTCCCGAAGTGCTGGGATTATGGGTGTGAGCCACCACACCCAGCCATTTTTTTGTATATTTAGTAGAGCCAGGGATTCATCATGTTGGCCAGGCTGGTCTCAAACTCCTGATATAAGTATATAATATATTATAATAATTATATATTACTTGTTATATATTTATTAATAAGTACATATATTTATTTAACCATTTTAAATATATTATATATTTATAACATATATATTATTTATATAATCATATATTTTATTAATATTTAATGAGTACATAAATAATGTATGTTTTTATATATTTAATAGATAGTGTATGTGTGTGTGTGTGTGTGTGTGACAGAGAGAGAGAGAGAGAGAGAAACAGGTCTTGCTCTGTCACCCAGGCTGGAGTGCAGTGACACAGTCCCTGCTCACTGCAACCTCAACTTCCCAGGTTCAAGTGATCCTCTCACCTTGGCTTCTGGAGTAGCTGGGCTAATAGGTGCTCACCACCACACCTGGCTAATTTCTTTGTGTTTTAGTTAGAGATGGAGTTTTGCGATGCTCCCCAGGCTGATTGCAGCCAGGCACAGTGGCTCACGCCTGCAATCCCAGCACTTTGGGAGGCTGAGATGGGAGGATCACTTGAGCTTAGGAATTCAAAACCAGCCTGGGCAGCATGGCAAGACCCCATCTCTACAAAAATAATTAAATAAACATTTAAAAATAAAAAAGAATGAATAGGACTATGTTTATTAGTCTCAATAAGAGCTGACACATATTAAGACCTACTATGTGCTAAGGCCCTTAGCAGAAAGATTTTCATATAGGACCTGGGGATCAGAGGTCAGACTGACTACAGACCACCCAGGTTCAAATCCCACCTCTGCCACTAGACCTCCGTATGACTTGGCTGACACTGCACTCTGTGTGTCAGTTTCCCTATCTGTAAAATGCTAACAGTAGTGTTTGCCTCAGGGACTAAATGCCAAGAGGTATGTAAAGTGCCCAGAAGAGCCCCTGAGCTGTGTCAGCACCCCGTGAATGTCCACTGTTCTAAGTCTCATTTTACTAACTAGGAAAAAGAATCAGAGAGGGTAAGTAACCTGCCTGAGGCCTCACAGCAGAGATCTGAAGGAACCCAAAACTCCTGGGCTATAATTGCCTTCCTTTTGTGCCAGGATCCCCTACATTCTTCCAACCAGGACCCACCCAGAGTAATACAGTGTTTCACAGATTTGAAGACCCAAGAGTTCTCCCCATTTTCTACATTGGGAACAGCAAGTTGTGCTGTAAATTACAGCAGTCATAGTATGTGAAACCTACAACACCGGTGTGATGAAAAAGTTCTGGGCCGGGTGCGGTGGGTCACACCTGTAATCCCAGCACTTTGGGAGGCAGAGGCGGGCGGATCATGAGGTCAAGAGATCAAGATTATGAGATTTTCCTGGCCTATGTGATGAAACCCCATCTATGCTAAAAATACAAAAAATTAGCCATGTGTGGTGGCACACCTCTGTAGTCCCAGCTACTCGGGAGGCTGAGGCAGGAGAATCGCTTGAACCCAGGTGTTAGAGGTTGCAGCGAGCCAAGATCTCGCCACTGTAGTCCAGCAGCCTGGCATCAGAGTGAGACTCAGTCTCAAAAAAAAAAAAAAGAAAGAAAAGAAAAAGTTTTGGAGCTATGTAGTGGTAATGGTTGCACAGCATTGTGAAATGTACATATTGCCACTGAATTGTATGCTTTAAATGGCTTCAATGGTAAATTTAGTGTGTGCGCATGTGTGTATGTTTGTTATTTGTTTGTTTGTTTGTTTGTTTGTTTGTTTGTTTTTGAGACGGAGTTTCGCTCTTGTTACCCAGGCTGGAGTGCAATGGCACAATCTCAGCTCACCTCAACCTCTGCCTCCTGGGTTCAGGCAATTCTCCTGCCTCAGCCTCCTGAGTAGCTGGGATTACAGGCACACGCCACCATGCCCAGCTAATTTTTTGCATTTTTAGTAGAGACGGGGTTTCATCATGTTAACCAGGATGGTCTCGATCTCTTGACCTCGTGATCCACCCGCCTCGGCCTCCCAAAGTGCTGGTGTTGTTTGTTTTTAATATGGAGTCTCGCCCTGTCGCCCAGGCTGGAGTGCAATGGTGAGATCTAGGCTCACTGCAACCTCCGGCTCCCAGGTTCAAGCGATACTCCTGCCTCAGCCTCCCGAGGAGCTGAGATTCCAGGCTCTCGCCACCACACCCAGCTAATTTTTTGTATCTTTAGTAGAGATTGGGTTTCACCCTGTTGACCAGGATGGTCTAGAACTCCTGACCTTATGAGTCGCCCACCTCAGCCTCCCAAAGTGCTGGCATTACAGACGTGATCCACCGCACTGGCGGTAAATTTAATTTTTTAAACCACAATATTTACCACAATTTTTAAAATCGAGTATGTCGAGGTTGAGGGAAATACGGTAATAATAGAGGAAATAGGATAATAAATAGCCAAAAAGTGAAAGGGCACGACCATCCCAGACGCCCTTACCCTCCTCACCTGTCATGACCCCAAGTCGTGCCCCAGTGTCCCCTCTCCCACAGCCCACCAGGGCTCCAGGGTGCCAGCGTTCCACTGCACGCCCGGGTGCCAGGCCTCCCGCAGCCAGCCCCTCCCTATCTGGCCCCAGAACGCCCCAGATCTGACACCTTCTTTTGGGTTCTCTGCAGGAGACATCGTCCTGAAGGCGCCCACCCAGGTGCACGGCTTCTTGGGCGACTCCGTGACGCTGCCCTGCTACCTGCAGCTGCCCAGCACGGAGGTGACGCACGTGTCGCAGCTGACTTGGACGCGGCTCAGTGACTCACGCAGCGTGGCCGTCTTCCACCATACTCAGGGCCCCAACTACCCGGAGTCCGAACGGCGGGAATTCGTGGCCGCCAGACTAGGGGCGGAACTGCGGGATGCCTCGCTGAGGGTGTTCGAGCTGCGCGCCGAGGATGAAGGCAACTACACCTGCCTGTTCGTCATGTTCCCTCAGGGCAGCAGGAGCGCGGTTACCTGGCTCCGAGTGTTCGGTGAGCTGGGGCGCCTTGGGTGCAGGGGCTGAATGCAAGGCGGAGAGTTGGTGGGAGGATCAGGGAGGTAGGTAAAGATCGGGAAGTCCTGGGAGGGAGAGAGATTCCCTCCACAGCAGATGTCCTGGGAGGGAGAGAGATTCCCTCCACAGCAGATTCCCTGGGACTAAAGGAAGGGGCAGGGCAATGATGAGGGGTGGAGTGGGGGAGGCTAGTGGGGGAAGGACTACAGGGCAGGAAGAGAGGAGAGATCTCCGGGAGTAAGGACCTCCAAGCCTAGAATCACCTTGAGGGAGGGGAAGGGGTATATTGGAAAGGGGGGCTGGGAGGGCACTGGGAAGGGAGGAGGCCTGGGTGGCGTCTTCTGGGTCCCTCCTTTCCTAATCTGTAAAAGGATTGGTGACAATAGCATCACCCTTGGAAAGCTGTCCTGAGTGTCCCGGTGAAGGCTTAGAGCAGAGGTGCTTCATAGCCCATGTGAGTTAGTTAGAGCTGTCAGTTACTGTTTATTTGGTGAAGAAGGAGAAAGTTGAAACAGACAGAAAAGCAAAGATCCTCATACCCAAAAGAGGAGGGGGTCATGCTTTCATTTTCGTGAGCTCCATGAGGCCCTCTTCCTGGAACTTGAGCAAGAAGTCTCTGTGCCTCAGTTTCCTCATCTGTGGGATGGGGATCACCATAAGGATTCAAAATAACTGACCCACCCCTTTTTTTTTTTGAGACGGAGTTTCACTCTTGTTACCCAGGCTGGAGTGCAATGGCGCGATCTCGGCTCACCGCAACCTCTGCCTCCTGGGTTCAGGCAATTCTCCTGCCTCAGCCTCTGGAGTAGCTGAGATTACAGGCACGCGCCACCATGCCCAGCTAATTTTTTTTTATTTTTAGTAGAGACGGGGTTTCACCATGTTGACCAGGATGGTCTCGATCTCTTGACCTCGTGATCCACCCGCCTCGGCCTCCCAAAGTGCTGGGATTAAGGCTTGAGCCACCGTGCCCGGCCTTTTTTTTTTTTTTTTTTTTTTTTTTGAGACAGAGTCTTGCTCTGTCGCCCAGGCTGGAGTGCAGTGGCGTGATCATAGCTCACTGCAGCAAGGAACTTCTGGGCTCTAGGAAAGCTCCTGCCCTCCCTGTAGCTGGAATTACAGGAATGTGCCCCCATGCCCGCCTTTTTTGTTGTTGATGTTTGGTTTTTAAGTTTATGTGCCAGGAACTATTCCAGGCTTGTACATGAGTAATTCATGAAACTTCAAGGGTTTGGAACCGGCACACAGCATCCAATCAAAGGCAACTCTTGTCAGTCCAACAAGCCTGGGATTCTGAGTATCATGGTTTATAGGATGAGGTAAAACAGAAACAGTGAGTCAAGTTAAGGAGAAACCTTGGGTAAATAATAAAACAGGTAATGATGGGGAAGGAAGTCCCAGGTTCGGGAATCACCAGGATGATGAGTAAGAGACGGTCAAGGTGGTTTTGGAGTCGAACGGACTTTACGTGAGAGTCTAGCTCTGCTGCTTATAGCTCTGCGACCGTGGGCAAGTCACTTCCCTCCTCAACTTCAGAGCTCAGGCTTCCTCTCTTCCACTGAGCCCCGGACTAGGATAACCCCCTCTGGGTTTCCCCGTCCCAGCCCTGCCTTCTCCAAGTCATCACTGCCTGGAAAAGAGTATTTCTGCCCCTTGGACTGAGTACCCATGAGGGCGGAACCAGGGCTATTTTGGTCACTGCTGGGCCCCAGCACTTTCCACCAAATAATATTTATTGAGCACTTATTATGTGCCAAGTACCACTCTTAGACCTTTATCAGAATATTCTCATGCCTGTGATCCCATCATTATCTCCTGTTGACAGACAAGGAAACTGAGGCACAGACTTGCCCAAGGCCACCCAGCTGCTCAGGGACAGAGCTGGGGTTTGAACCATGCCATCCTGTACACTTTTGGGTTTTTTTGAGACAGAATCTTGCTCTGTTGCCCAGCTGGAGTGCAGTGTCGCAATCCTGGCTCACTGCAACCTCTGTCTCCTGAGTTCAAGCAATTATCTAGTCTCAGCCTCCCGAGAACTGGGATTACTGGCGTGTGCCACCATACCCTGGCTAATTTTTGTATTTGTAGTAGAGACAGAGTTTTCACTATGTTGTCCAGGCTGGTCTCGAACTCTTGACCTCAAGTGATCCACCCACCTCAACCTCCCAAAGTGCTGGGAATACAGGTGTCAGCCACCATGCCCAGCCACCATACCATCTCGTACCCTTAACAAATCCCCCTCTTCTACCATGGAGGGGTTCATTGGATGACCTGTTGCTTTTGTTTCTCTTCCTAGCCAAGCCCCAGAACACAGCTGAGGCTCAGAAGGTCCAGCTCACCGGAGAGCCTGTGCCCGTGGCCCGATGTGTCTCCACAGGGAGTCGCCCGCCTGCCCGAATCACCTGGCACTCAGACCTGGGTGGGATGGCCAATATGAGCCAGGAGCCAGGGCTCCTGTCTGGCACAGTCACTGTCACCAGCCTCTGGATTTTGGTGCCCTCAAGCCAGGTGGATGGCAAGAATGTGACCTGCAAAGTGGAGCAGGAGAGCTTCCAGACGCCTCAGCTGCTGACTGTAAACCTCACCGTGTACTGTGAGTGTGCCCAAGTCAGCCACAGCAAGAACCCCTGCCGGGCCGTCCCCACCCCTGTCTACACTGACTCCCCAAGGCACTGTAGGCATTGCTTCCATCATCTGCACAGGCTCCCCTGACTCCTGTCTGCACGGCCCACCCCCACTGTCTACACCAGCTCCCTTGGGCTATAAACAACACTGCCCCTATTGTCGACACCAGCTAATTGGGCCTCACTCAGTCAAGGCTGACACCCAGATTGTCTGCCCTCTCTCTTTTTTTCTGAGACAGAATCTCACTCTGTTCCCAGGCTGGAGTGCAGCGGTGCAGTCTCGGCTCACCGCAACCTCTGCTTCTTGAGTTCAAGCAATTCTCCTGCCTCAGCCTCCCGAGTAACTGGGATTACTGGTGTGACTGTGACTCCTCTAGCCACTGTCTACACTGATACCGCACACTCTGCTGACTCCCTTGAGCACAGTCTGTGCTGCCCCCAAACATTGGCTACACCCCCTTCCCCAGGCAACTATTCACAATGACCTCCCCGACGTTGGCTCTCCTGGCCTCTGTCAGCACGGCCTCCCTCATTGTCTGCTCCCACACCCTTGTCTATTTCTTTTCTTTTCTTTTTTTTTGAGGCGGGGTCTCGTTCTTTTGTCACCCAGGCTGGAGTGCAGTGGGGTGACCTCGGCTCACTGCAGCCTCCACCTTCCATGCTCAAGCTATTCTCCTGCCTCAGCCTCCCAAGTAGCTGGGACTACAGGCACATGCCACCACGCCCAGCTAATTTTTTGTATTTTTAGTAGAGATGGCGTTTCACCGTGGTATCCAGGATGGTCTCTATCTCCTGACCTCATGATCTGCCCTCCTCAGCCTCCCAAAGTGTTGGGATTGCAGGCGTGAGCCACCGCGCCCAGTCGTAGGCACTCTCTAAAGTGCCCCTCCCATTATCTACCCTGCCTCCCTGGGGAACTGTCTGCATTCACCTCCCACACTGTATCTACCAGTTCCCCTGAGCCACGATCGATGGTCTCCCCTGGGTGCTGGCTACACTGATCTTCCCACATTGTGTGTGCTGGCTGCTCTGAGCAGTGTCTGCAGCCTAGTCCCCCAGTGTAGTCTACACATCCCTCTGCCCAGTATTGTCTACACTGGCTCATCTACAGGCTGTCCAGTCTCGCCCCACATCACAGGAGAACCACACTGGTTCTCCTGCATAGCGTCACCTCCACTAGCTCCCTCATGGTGCCATTGACATTGACACCCACACATTTATCTCCAGTGACATCCCAGGCGCTCCCTCACCAGTGCTGTCTAACAGAAATAGCACGCAAGCTGCATGGAGGACTTTAAATTCTCCAGCAGCCATCCATTACAAAATTACAAGAAAGAGATGAAATTTATCTGTGTATTTACTTATCTATTTATTTATCTGAAATGGGTTCTTATTCTGTCACCCAGGCTGGAGTGTGGTGGCACAACTCACTGCGGCCTTGACCTCCTGGGCTCAGGCGATCCTCCCACCTCAGCCTCAGTCTCCTGAGTAGCTGGGACTACAGGCATGTGACACCATGCCCGGCTAATTTATTTTATTTGTTTATTTATTTATTTATTTTGAGACAGAGTCTTGCTCTGTTGCCCAGGCTTGAGTGCAGTGGTGCAATCTTGGCTCACTGCAACACCCGCCTCTCGGGTTCAAGTGATTCTCCTACCTCAGCCTCCCCAGTAGCTGGGATTACAGGCGCCCACCACCATGCCCGGATAATTTTTGTATTGTTAGTAGAAACAGGGTTTCACCATCTTGACCAAGCTGGTCTTGAACTCCTGATGTGATCTGCCCACCTTGGCCTCCCAAAGTGCTGGGATTATAAGCGTGAGCCACTGCACCCAGCCTAGTGTATTTTTTTGTAGTGACAGGATCTCCCTGTATTACCCAGACTGGTCTCAAACTCCTGGGCTCAAGCGATCCTCCTGCCTCGACCTCCCAAGGTGCTGAGATTATAGGCATGAGCAACTGTGCCTGGCCAAAATTAATTTTAATAGTTCCTTTACTTACCCCAATACACCCAAAATATTATTTTAACTTGTAATTCGTTTCTAAAATTTTTTCTTGAGATCCCTCCCATTTATTTTGCCCTAGTAAGCCTTTGAAATCTGGTGTGTATTTCGGCCTGGCCATATTTCAAGGGCTCAGCGGTCACATGTGGCCAATGGGTGCCATATTGGAGAGCATAGATCTAGACTAAGCTCCCACATCATCTACACTGGCTCATCTAAATGCTGTCTACACACACACACAGCCTGTTTTAATTTCACCAGCTCCCTGGTACACATTGTATATATGGGAGTGATCTCACCCCCACCCCAGCATTGTGAACACTGGCCGGACATTATAGCGTCTGCTGTGATATTCTAACTCCAGGTCTGCACCGAGCCTGTCACTAATACCCACACAAGCTCTTCTAGGCTCATCCATACTGTTCCTTTCATCTTCGTTTATATTGCCTGCTCTCCCGCCAGGCAATTGGTACACAGATTCCCTCAGGGGCTGTCTATACTGGAGTCCCTCTACACTAACTCCTACCCTTCACCCCCCAACAAACCCTGTCTCACTGACCTTCCTCCTGAGGACGCTGAAGGATCTTTGCTGTTGGTCATGTCTGGGATGGCTGAGCAGCACCCCAGAGCAGGGGGATTTATCCAGGACTCTTTCTCACAGGACTTGTCAGAGCCTTGAATACACTGCTGTGTATTATGAGTGACAGTTGCCTATTAGTGAGACAAGGAGGCCTTTTCCCACAGGACACCCAACACATACCTGGACCAGGCTACCTAGGAAAGCTAGTGGAGAAAAGCAGGTCCTCAGAAGCCCTCTCCATGTCCCCACTGACCAGGGACTCCCAGGCTTCTGCTCTCTGTGGCACCCCATCTCCCTAGACCCCTCCTAGGCCTCTCCAGCTCCCACTGTTCCCCAAACATGCCCAGACCTTTTCCTGCAGTAATGTGAATCCCACATAGCCCTAGTCCCACCAAAGACTCCCTGTCTCTGAACCTCTGTGTCCACTTCCTGCAGATCCCCCAGAGGTATCCATTTCTGGCTATGATGGCAACTGGTACCTCGGCCAGACTGAGGCCAGCCTGACCTGCGATGCTCGCAGCAACCCAGAGCCCACAGGCTATGAGTGGAGCACGTGAGTCCTGGGTCTGAGGGAGGAGGGGTTGGAGGCCTAGACTCCTGGGTCTGAGGGAGGAGGGGCTGGAGTCTGGACTCCTGGGTCTGAGGGAAGAGCGGCTGGGGACCTGGACTCCTGGGTCTGAGGGAGGAGGGGGTGGGGGTGTGGACTCCTGGGTCTCAGGGAGGAGGAGCTGGGGCCTGGACTCCTGGGTCTGAGGGAGGAGGGGCTGGAGTCTGGACTCCTGGGTCTGAGGGAGGAGGGGCTGGGGGTCTGGACTCCTGGGTCTGAGGGAGGAGGGGCTGGAGTCTGGACTCCTGGGTCTGAGGGAGGAGGGGCTGGGGGTGTGGACTCCTGGGTCTCAGGGAGGAGGAGCTGGGGCCTGGACTCCTGGGTCTGAGGGAGGAGGGGCTGGGGGCCTGGACTCCTGGGTCTGAGGGAGGAGGGGCTGGGGCCTGGACTCCTGGGTCTGAGGGAGGAGGGGCTGGGGCCTGGACTCCTGGGTCTGAGGGAGGAGGGGCTGGGGGTCTGGACTCCTGGGTCTGAGGGAGGAGGAGCTGGGGCTCTGTCACCCAGGCTGGAGTGCAGTGCCATGATCATAGCTCACTGCAGCCTGAACCTCCCTGGGCTCAGTGATCCTCCCACTTCAACCTCCTGAGTGGCTGGAACTACAGGCACGGGCCACCACACTCGGCTAATTTTGTTGTATTTTTTGCAGAGACAGGGTTTTGCCACATTGTCCAGGCTGGTCTCAATCTCCTGGGCTCAAGCAATCAACCCACCTCAGCCTCCCAAAATGCTGTGATCACAGGCGTGAGTCACCTCACCCAGCCTTAGGCCTTCTTCCTTATTATAAAAATAACTCGTGTCCACTGTAGAACTGTCAGGCCATTGAGTTATGAGCAAAAACAAGACAGCAGCATCTCTAGTCAAGTATACCCAGCCACTTCCAGAAATACCCAGTGGCCCTTATTATACACCCTTCTGTCTTTTTTCTCTGTGTTTCTAAACAAAAACTGGAATTATGCTATACATATAATTTTGAAACTTGTCCTCTATCTCGTGAATACCTTTCCATCTCAAAGCACGTAGGTCCACAAGCCCATTTCCCACATATTGTATGAGGAAGATTGTCAAACATAGAGAAAAATCCTAATTTTCCCGTGAACACTTAAGATTCCACCATGTGGACTCCCCCACTAACATTTTGCTGTGCTTGCTTTATCACATTTCTGTGATTCCCTCCGTCCCTCTATTCATATTATGCATTTCAAAGCACCCTCAGCTCCCCTGCTTCTTTTTTTTTTTTTAAACAAGGCCTCACTCTGTTGCTCAGGCTGGAGTACAGTGGCACAGTCACAGCTCACTGGAGCCTTGAGCGCCTGGGCTCAAGTGATCCTCCAGCCTCAGCCTCCCAGATAGCTGGGACTACAGGCACACACCACAACGCCTGGCTAACATGGCCCCTTTTTTAATGTTGCTGGGATTTTATCACCTTTGAAAAAAAAATGTAAGAAATAGAGATGAGATCTCATTATGTTGCCTAGGCTGGTCTTGAACTCCTGAACTCAAGCAGTCCTCCCACCTGGGCCTCCTAAAGTGCAGGGAAGAGATTCCAACATACACTGATGTCATCAGTTATTTAACCATGCCCTGTACAGGGCACAGATGTCAGTTTCCATTTTCAACTCTGCAAATGCGTGGTGGTGACCATCCCCCGTGGTCATTTGTCAGTTGTCAGCGGAAGAAACTGCCGGTCAGAGGTTTTTGATGGTGTGACGGTGACTTTACTGTCCTGCCTCAAAGCACCACAATTCAGCCTCTTGAGCCAGATGGCTGCGTTTGCATCCCAGCTTTGCAGAGTGCCCAAAGCCCAATACTCCCAACTCTACCTCTGTTCATTAAACTAGTGTTCCTTGACTACTTACTGTGCACCAGGTGCAATTAAGCTGCACATCGTAGTCAATAAAACAGACCAGATTTCCTCCTCATATGGAGCTTCCATTCCAGTGGGGAAAGAAACAAGAAGCAAGATAAAGTAGTAAAGTGTGTAGAGTGTGTGCAATGGCGATAAATACCATGGAGAAGATAAAGCAGGAAAGGGGATGGGGGCGAGGCGCCGTGGCTCATGCCTGTAATCCCAACACTTTGGGATGCTGAGATGGGAAGATCACTTGAGGCCAGAAGTTCGGAACCAGCCTGGCCAACACAATGAAACCCCATCTCTACCAAAAATGATACAAAACTTAGCTGGGTGTGGGAGGACGCACCTGCAGTCCCACCTACTCAGGAGGCTGAGATGGGAAGATTGCATGCACCCAGGTGGTAGAGGTTGCAGTGAGCCAAGATGGTGCCACTGCACTGTAGCACGGGTGACAGAATGAGGCCCTATCTCAAAAAATAATAAAATTAGAGAGAGAGAGAGAGAGAGAGAGAGAGAGAATGGGGATGGGAAGGGTGGTCATCACAGTTGAAATAGGGTGGCCAAGTGACATGTTACTAAGGTGAAGGAGGCGAGGGTGAGCTCTGTGGGAACATGGGGGCAGAGCATTCTAGCAGAGGGAACAGTATAGGCAAACCCATTTCTTTTTTTTTTTTTTCTTTTTTTCTTTTGAGACAGAGTCTCACTCTCTCACCCAGGCTGGAGTGCAGTGGTGCAGTCTCAGCTCACTGCAACCTCCACCTCCCTGGTTCAAGCAATTCTCTGCCTCAGCCTCCTGCATAGCTGGAGTTACAGGTGCCGGCCACCACGCCCGGCTAATTTTTGTATTTTTAGTAGAGACGGGGTTTCACCATCTTGGCCAGGCTGGTCTTGAAGCCCTCACTTCGTAATCCACCCGCCTCCGCCTCCCAAAGTGCTGGGATTACAGGCGTGAGCCACCGCGCCCGACCAGGCAAACCCATTTCTATCCATCAGTCCCTGCATAAGCAAACACCCAGGACACCTAACTGGAGAGTTTGAGGACCAGCAAGGCCACTGTGGATACAGAGGCGGGAACAAAGGGGAGGGTCCTGGAAAACAGGGGCAGAGGTAGCAGGGGCCAGGTCACGTGGGGCCTGTGACACGGCGGAGAGTTCGGTTTTACTCTGAGCCAGACTGAGCCACCAGAGGGTGCTGAGCTGAGGGATGGGAACTGACTTAGGGTTCATAGGCGACCTCTGGTGGCCAAGTGGGGAACAGACGAGGGGGGCGAGGGCGGAAATGGAGCCCAGCGTGGAGGCGGCTGCCGGGGGCCCAGGATGTACCAGGTCAGAGCAGGGAGGCGGCCGGCCATGGAAGCCCTGAGGAGCGGTGGGATTCTGGATAGATCTTAGGGCGGGGCCTAAGGATTGGCTGATGGGTTGGGTGTGGGCATGAGAGGAAGGGAAGAGTCGGGAGCTGGGGTGGGGGGGTTTGGGGGTGGTCTTCCAGAATTGCTCTCGGCTTATACCATAGAGGGCGTGACGGTTTTCGGCAAGTAGTGGGTGCTCAATCACTATCACTCCGGACTCGCAGCAGAGGCTCACCCTTCTGTCTCTCCCAGGACCATGGGTCCTCTGCCACCCTCTGCTATGGCCCAGGGCGCCCAGCTCCTCATCCATCCTGTGGACAAGTCAATCAACACGACTTTCATCTGCAACGTCACCAGTGCCCTAGGAGCTCGCCAGGCAGAGCTGACTGTCCAGGTCAAAGGTGAGGAACTCCCTGGGTGGGGAGAACAGGGACCAAAGGAAGAGGTCGCAGCAGGGTTCCCTCTCCAATGCTCTCTATGAACCGATCACAGCAGCTGGCTCCCATCCTTCTCCTAAGCCTTCTCACAAAAGGACCAGTGGGGCCAGCTTGACTCCCCTGTTAACTCCATACCTATACCGCTGGTACCGTTGTTCAGCTGCCTGGATACACTCCCTCCGCACACCCAGGTTGGGATAGATGTGGAATCCCTCTCTCTCAGGGACTCAGGCCTGTCTAAATGTATTAGGCAGAACTCTATCAATTGCAATTGTCAGAAACATAACTCAAAGTAGTCTAAGAAAAAAAAAAATCCAGGAGTTTATTGAAATGTCACCTTCAGGTATGGTTAGATCCAGGGGTTCCAACTATGTAATCCAGGATCTTTTATTTTATACATCTCTTGTCTCTGCTTTTTGTTGTACTGGCTTGATTCTCAGGAAGGCTCTGTCCTCAGGGAAGCAAGATAGCCCTCAGCAATGACAGGCTCACATCCTACCAAAATAGCAACAGGAGGAGGAAAAAAACACCATTTTAAATAACTGTAGCCAAAGTCCCAGGACTGGCTCTCATTCGCCCAGCTTAGGCCACAGCCCACCTATGAACCAATCACAGCAGCCAGGGAAAATGGAATGTTCTGATTGGCCAGGCCTGTGTCAAAGTCCCATCCTAGGAACCAGAGGGTAGGATCCAGTCCACCTGAGTTAAATAGACTGAGGCAGGTGGAGTGGTGGCTCCATAAGGAAATTTGAGATGCCACTTCAAGAATGAGGGATAAACCCCAAGAGTGTCCTTACCTAAATACCTGTTTCCTTCTCTTTCAGAGGGACCTCCCAGTGAACCCCCAGGCATGTCCAGGAACAACATCCTCTTCCTGATTCTGGGACTCCTGGGGGTTTTTCTGGCCCTGCTGGGGGTTCGGCTTTATTTCTGTCGGTCCAGATGTTCCCGTAAGTTCCTTTGGCATTGCCATCTGTCTCCATGAGTGAGCATCACCAGAGCTGCCATAATGGAGCACCTACTGTGTGCTGGGCTCCGTGCTAAGCCCTTCCCGTGTGCCTCTCACTGAATCCTCACTCCAGTGCCATGAGGTTTTCCCCATTTGACCAACCAGGGTGCAGAACCAGGGAATCCCGTTCACTGCTTCTTTGATTACATTTACAAGTATTTACGGAGTGGAAGAAGATCGCATCAGGCCTGAGGCTTTGGCGCTTCATTCAGGTGATGTGGGAGTCCCTGCCAGAAGGATGGGGGTGAAATAATGCTGAACCCCTCAGCCTTACTCCATCTGCCTTGTTCAGGAGTGACTCTAGGAGGAGGTGGCAGGAACTGGCATCTCTGATCCTCAGCTCTAACAGGGTCCGATGCTTTCACACCTTGAGAGATTTGCATAGGCCGTTCCCCTGCCTGGAGCACCCTCCCATGGCTCCTTCTGGAGAAGTGCACCAGCTAATTCTGTAATCAGGGGAGTGATACTTTGCTGAGCACTGTCCATGTGCTGCTTTATATGTACGACCTCCTGGATTTTAATTTTTAATTTTTAGTTTTATTTTGTTTATTTATTTATTTTGAGGCAGGCTGTCACTCTGTCACCCAGGCTGTAGTGCAGTGGCACAGCCTCAGCCCACTGCAGCCTCCGCCTCCCAGGTTCAAGTGAATCTCGTGCCTCAGCCTTCCGAGTAGCTGGGATTACAGGCATGCAACACCCTGCCCAACTAAGTTTCGTATTTTCAGTAGAGACGGGGTTTCACCATGTTGGTCAGGCTGGTCTCCAACTTCTGACTTCGTGATTCACCGCCTCGGCCTCCCAAAGTGCTGGGATTACAGGCGTGAGCCACCATGCCTGGCTTTTTTTTTTTCTCTCTCTCTCTCTTGCCCAGACTAGAGTGCAGTGGCATGATATCAGCTTACTGCAACCTCACCCTCCCAGGTTCAGGTGATTCTCCCACCTCAGCCTCCTAAGTAGCTGGGATTATAGGCATGCACTCCCAGGCCCGGCTAATTTTTCATATTTTTAGTAAAGTTGGAGTTTCGCTGTGTTGCCCAGGCTGGTCTTGAACTGGACTCCAGCAATCCACCCACCTTGGGGAATTCCTCCCAGAGTACTGGAATTACAGGCATGAGCCACCATGCTTGACCAAGAGCAGGCGATTTTATCTGTTTTGTTCACAGCTGTGTCCCCAGCACCTAGAATGTACCTGGCACAAAGTAGACATTTACCATTTGCTGAATACTACTACTGTTTGCTAAATAAACCCCTGTTCAGTAGTTTAGGAAACTGAAACCAGAGAGGTTAAGTCACTGGTCTAAGGTCACACAGCTCCTAAAGGACAGAGATGGAATTTGAACCCATCCATCTGGTTCCAGAGCCCAGGCTTGATATTTATGGATCTTTATTTAATTAATGGATATTTTAAAAATCTAATTTTTGCATTTTTCGTAGAGACAGGGTTTCACCATGTTGGCCAGGCTGGTCCTGAACTCTTGACCTTGTGATCCGCCCACCTCACACTCCCAAAGTGCTGGGATTACAGGTGTGAGCCACGGTGCCCAGCCTACACTGTCATTTATTTTATTTTTTATTTTAGAGGCAGTGATCTTGCTGTCTTGCTCAGGCTGGTCTCAAATCCTTGACAAGCACACCCGCCATCCCTGTGTGACAGATGTGTATAGCGTTAAGGGAAGTGGCGCCCCATGTAACGGCGGAGGCAGAACTTGGCGTTTTCAGGACCCCGACACCCGGGCATATCTTCTTCCCAGCCTTGTTCCCTCCTGACGACTTCCCCTCCTATTTCCCCAGGTCCGACAGCTGCCAGCACCTCGGTTAATAGGGTAAGTGCAGTGTGGGAGCTGAGGAGGGTGTGGGGTCTGCACGAACTACAAACCAGATGTCTCCAGGTGCCCACAGCCCAGCCTCAGGAGCCTGGGTCTTCTGGGTCTTTTCTCCTGCTGCCTCGAGCAGCATTTCCCACCCTTCCTGCTGGGCAGAATCCCCTGTAGAGTTTGCTAAGATGCAGTCCCCGACAGTGTGGGCTTTGCCGAGGCCAGGGAATCTGCATTTTAATATCAGCCCTCCCCACCAACTCCACCCTGGGCCACACCTTGAGAAGCACTGCCCTGGCTTCCAGGGAGAGGGGAGGGGATAGGCCTGTAGTTCTTTGCACATTGGTCTTCGGTGGGAAGATGTTCTTTGATTTTATTCAAAAGAGCCCTGAGGCTAAGGTTTGAAAACTCTCTTCCAGCCCGTCTCCTATGCGCCTGTGGCCAACTCTTTCGAGGATCCACAGACAAAGGGCACAAGGTGACAGCGTCGGGTCTGAGCGGGGAGAGAGACTGGAGCTGACAAGGACATGGGCCTCCAGAGTTAGACCCCACCCCAACGGATGAAGACCCCTCCAAAGAGACCAGCCTCCTTCCCATGCCAGACCTCAAAACGAGGTGGTAGGTGCACGTTCAGAGGTCTCCAAGACCACCCTGAGCTCATTTGCTAGAAGGACTCACTGGACTCAGGAAAGCTGTTAAGCTCCCAGTTACAGTTTATTACAGCAAAAGGACAGAGATCGAAATCAGCAAAGCAAGGTGCTGCCCAGCACACGTTCCGGGAGAGACGAGCCGACAGCTTCCAGCCGTCCCCTCCCAGTGGAGCCGTGTAGGCAGCACCTGATTCTCACAGCAACGACATGCGACAACACGCAAGAAGTACTGCGAACCAGAGCAGTTCACTCGAGACCTTCGTGCCCAGAGTTTTTTCTCTGTTGGTCTTGAGGCAGGGTCTGGCTCTGTTGCCAGACTGGAGTGCAGTGGTGAGATCACAGCTCATTGCAGCCTTGACCTCTGAGGTCCAAGTCATCCTCCCACCTCAGCCTCCTGAGTAGCTAGGACCACAGGCATGTGCCACCATGCGTGGCTAATCTTTTTATTATTTGTAGAGTCCCTATGTTGTCCAGGCTGGTCTCAAACTCTTGGCCTCAAGTGTTATTTCTGCCTCAGCCTCCCAAAGTGCTGAATTAAACAGCTCGCCATCCACGTGGCTGACCTCATGCATCAAGCCAATACCATGTGGCGCCAGGCCCCCCCACCACAAATCACAGCATTAGCATGATCAGCTCAGATGGGCTATCAGGCAGGGTATTCCAGGAACTAAGAGATGAATGCCCAGCAGCTGAGAATAAAGGGCCCGGTCTTTCTTTGGGCAAGGCTGAGCCTTTACTGCGTAGTGGACCACACAGAAGGGTGTGGCCCCCAGAGAATCTGGGTAAAAATCTGGCCTCTGGCCTTAAGCTTCTAAGTCTCTGTATCTGTCAGATCTCTGTGGTTACAAGAAACAGCCACTGACCCTGGTCACCAGAGGCTGCAACTCAGACCACAAGCAGCTGCCTGGGGGTTGTCCAAGGAGCAGAGACATGAACTTGGAGAAGGTTGTCAGCGCAGCCACTTCCTGCCAGCATCTGCAGCCAGCAAGCTGGGGCTGGCAGGAAATAACCCACAAAAGAAGCAAATGCTATTTCCAGCACAAGGGGGAGGAATGCAGGGAGAGGCGGTGTTGCGGTCACTCAGGACACTCTCCTTTAGGGCCAAGATGGAGGAGACCCAAGACCCAGGAAGCTGAGCTCAGATGCAACTGACAAATTTACTTTATAAAGGTCTACAATCGGCCAAGTGCGGTGGCTCACACCTATAATCCCAGCACTTTGGGAGGCCAAGATGGGTGGATCACAAGGTCAGGAGTTCAAGACCAGCCTGGCCAACATGGTGAAACCCCATCTCTAATAAAATACAGAAATTAGCTGTGCGTGGTGGCATGCATCTGTAATCCCAGCTACTCAGAGGCTGAAACAGGAGAATGGCTTGAACCCGGGAGGTGGAGATTACAGTGAGCTGAGATCGCGCCACTGCACTCCAACCTGGGTGACAAAGCAAGACTTCATCTCAAAAAAAAAAAAAAAAAAAAAGATTCTATGATCATGAGGGCAGGCACCAGAATTCCTCTTATAAAGAAAACTGTCTAGGAAAATAGCATGAGGGAGAGAAGACCTTGGGCCAAGATGCTAAATGGGAAAGCAAAGCTTGAGCTGCTCTGGGAGAGAAAATAAACGGGACATAGGATTTGCTCTGGACAGAGATGGAGGAGTGGGGAACAGGGAAGTGTGGAGAAGAGACCAGAACTGGCAGAATGGCGGGGGCAAGGGATTCAAGGGGTGACGAGGCCAATAGGACCTTACAGAGTTGAGGAGACAAAGGAGCATTGGTTGCTTTGGTGGCACATAAGATCCTCGTCCGTCTCCAGCCTCCAGAACCTCATTAAAGCTTATTTATTGCACCTGCACTGGCTGTGTGCAATGGGATCTCCTGTGGAAATCAAGGCGGAGACAGGTTTCAGGTGTACTGTTGCCACGTGGGATGGAACCAGGGGTGTGGAAGCAAGACGTTAAATGAAGGAGGCCATTAGGGCTGCGATTCCCAGGCACCTTAGGAACCGCTTGCTTGTCTTTCTTTTTTTTTTTTCCTCTCTCCAAAAAAAATTTTGAAGAGACAGTGTCTACTGTCACTCAGGCTGGAGTACAGAGGTACTACCCTAGCTCATTGCAGCCCCTGTAACTCCAGGGCTCAAGCAATCCTCCCACCTCAGCCTCCCAAGTAGCTGGACAACAGGCACACCTCACCAGGCCAAGCCAATTTTTTAAATTAGATAGTACCTCAGTTTCCCAAATTAGAAGTTACAAAAAGACAGGGATCCATGCTTAGTTAATGTGTGTTTAGAGGAGTGATCCAGCTCTTCTTTTGCACGTGGACATCCAGTTTCACAACACTATGAATGCAATGAATCACACTGAATCACACACTCAAAAGTAGCTAAAATGGCAAATTTTCTGTTATCTCTTTTTAACCACAAATTTTGAAAATTAATTATATTATGTACCAAAAACACCACTGAATAGTACCCTTTATTTATTTATTTATTTAGTTAGTTAGTTAGTTATTTTAGAAACAGAGTCTTGCTTTGTTGATCAGGCTGGAGTGCAGTGGCCTGATCATGGCTCCTTGCAGCCTCCACCTGCTGGGCTCATGTGAGCCTCCTGCCTCAGCCTCCCGAGGTGGGTACCACCCCACCTGGCTAAATTTTTTTTTTTTTTTTTAGAAATGGGCATCTCATTGTATTGCCCAGGCTGGTCTGGAACCCCTAGGTTCAAGTGCTCCTCCTGCCTCGGCCTCCCAAAGTGCTGGGATCACAGACATGAGCCACTGCACCCAGCCCTGGACCTTACTTTTGCTGCTCACAGTTTCTGGTGACTCACAGAATGCCTCCTTAGTTATTCTACCTCATATTCAGCCTCATATTGCAGCCTCCACCTGCTGGGCTCATGTGAGCCTCCTGTCTCAGCCTCCCGAGGTGGGCACCACCCCACTTGGCTAAATTTTTTTAGCCGGGGATATACAGGTTTTTTAACCAGGCCCCAAAAGACAGGCATTTGTATCATTTCCAGCCTTTTACTATTACAGTGTTGTAGTGAATAACTTTACACACTGTCGTGTATTTTATTTATTTTATTTTAATTTAGAGACAGGGATCTTGCCATCTTGCCCAGGCTGGTCTCAAACTCCCAGGCTTAAGCAATCCTCCCGCCTCAGCCTCCTGAAGTACTGGCATTATAGGCATGAGCCACCGTGCCTGGCCAAGGCACACTGTCATTGAGCTCATGTTGACACCTGAGTGTAGGACACACTCCTGGAAGTGGAATTGCTGGGCCAAAGAGTATGTTTCTTGTCATTGTGATTAATATTGACAAATGAACCCTCACAGAATTCATGCTGAGCTCTGTTCCCACCAGCGTGTAGATGGTGACCTTTATCTGGAGGGATGGGGCATCCTTGGAGTCCGCAGAGCTAGGAATGGAGAGAGGACCCAGAATTTTGGTATAGGTCTTATATAAAGTTATAAGTTTAAGAAAACAGCCGGGCACGGTGGCTCAGGCCTGTAATCCCAGCACTTTGGGAGGTTGCAGCGGGGGGATCATTTGAGGTCAGGAGTTCAAGACCAGCCTGGCCAACATGGTGAAACCCCATCTCTCCAAAAAGTTAGCCAATCACGGTGGTGCATGCCTGTAATCCCAGCTACTCAGGAGGCTGAGGTGGGAGAATCATTTCAACCCGGGAGGCAGAGGCTGCAGTGAGCCATGATCAGGCACTGCACTCCAGCCTGGGTGACAAGAGCGAGACCCTGTCTCAAAAAAAAAAAAGAAAAGAAAAAAAAAGAATTGGTCTACTCTGGGCACGGCTCCACTTCTCTGCTGTTTGTTCAGCTCTCCTCCACATACGGGCATCACCCTCTGGTGCCAAGATGGCTGATGCATTCCGGGCATCACATCCAGACTCAGACCCAGAGAAGCTGCCCATCCCTACCTGGGTGAGCCTCCATGGGAACGAGAAACCTCACCCAGCAGCGTCTTTTCCGGTCTCATTCACCAGCGCCTCCCACCGCTCAACCAATCCCTGGCCAAAAGAATGGGACCGCCTGGGAAGCTGGACCAATCAGGACCTGCCCTCTGGGGCTGGGGAGAGGCCCGGATGAAGGCTGCAGGGCCGCCTAGACCTCTGTTACTAGCAGTGCCTACCTCTGAGTAGTTGGAAGATGTCTGGGTTTATTCTCTTTTAAGTACTGCCTAAATATTCTATAATAAACTTTGACTCTTATTTTAATAATGCAAAAGGAATCGAAGTCATTATTTGAAAGGGAGAGGAAGAAGAGAGAGAGAGGGAGGGAGGGAGGCAGGGAGGGAGACAGGAGAGAGAGTAGAATCCAGCCACCGGAAAATTGAGAATAGCTGGCTTTGCATTACGTGCCTGGAAATAATTGCTGGGTTTGCAACGGCTCTTCAGGAGACAGACCAAGGAAATTGCAAAACTGCAGCAAGGATCGAAGGGCCGGGTGCGGTGGCTCATGCCTGCAATCTCAGCACTTTAGGAGGCCAAGGTGGGCGGATCACCTGAGGTAAGGAGTTCGAGACCAGCCTGGCCAACATGGTGAAATCTCGTCTCTACTAGAAATACAAAAATAAGCCGGGCGTGGTGGCAGGCACCTGTAATCCCAGCTACTGCGGAGGCTGAGGCAAGAGAATCCCTTAAACCTGGGAGGCAGAGGTTGCAGTGAGCTGAGATCATGCCACTATACTCCAGCCTGGGCGACAGAGCGAGACTCCATCTCAAAAAAAAGAAGGAGGATTGAAGGTAGATTCTGAGGGTACTCTGACCCATGAACCCAGCATAAAATCTTCCAGGCATGCCAGGCGCAGTGGCTCACGCCTGTAATCCCAACACTTTGGGAGGCCAAGGCAGGTGAATCACCTGAGGTCTGGAGTTGGAGACCAGCTTACCAACGTAGAGGAACCCCATCTCTACTAAAAATACAGAAATAGTTGGAAGTGGCGGTGCATGCCTGTAATCCCAGCTACTCAGGAGGCTGAGGCAGGAGAATTGCTTGAACCTGGGAGGCAGAGGTTGCAGTGAGCCGATTGTGCCACTGCATTCCAGCCTCGGCAACAAGAGTGAAACTCTGTCTGGGGGAAAAAAAGAAAGAAAAAGGAGGGAGGGAGGGAGGGGAGGGAGAGAGGAAGGAAGGAAAGAAGGAAGGAAGTAAGGAAGGAAGGAAGGGGAAAGAAGAAAGAAAATCTTCCAAGCATTAAAAAACATTGGGGATGTGGAGGATTAAAAATCCCTCCAGGGAAAATATGCTTCTCTTGAGCAGGTTCACAAGGGTGGGGGCAATGTGGGAGGTGGGGTTAAGTCCAAAGACAAGGTCAACACCAATAATAATAAGAATGGCGGGCATTTGTCGCTTATTTGCCGGGCCTCTTGCACACTGTTCTCCCAACATCCCTGTGAGGTGGTGATGCTTATCCCCATTCTTGAGAGGTAAAGTCATTTGCCACAAGATCCCCCAGCCAAATGGTAGTAAAACCAGATTTTCAGCCAGACTCACCAGCGCACGGCAGAGCTTCCCTGGAGTCTGCAGCCCATCCGTCTATAGCCAGTCCACCCCATCCTTCAAGATGGTTCGACATCAAGATTCCTGATTTGCCTGTAATCCCAGCACTTTGGGAGGCTGAGGCGAGAGGAGCACAAGGTCAGGAGATCGAGACCATCATGGCCAACATGGTGAAATGCCATCTCTACTAAAATACAAAAAAAGTAGCCCGGTTTGGTGGTGGGTGCCTGTAGTCCCTGGGGAGGCTGAGGCAGGGGAATCGGTTGAACCCAGGCGGTGGAGGTTGCAGTGAGCCAAGATTGCGCCACTGCACTCCAGCTGGGTGACAGAGCAAGACTCCGTCTCAAAAGATTCCTGATTTGCCTCAACCTCAGGCCTCTGGAAGATACCATCACCCCCAACAGGCTGAAGGCATGTGTCCAGAACACTCAGACACCCACAAAGTGCTATGGATACACCACACCCCGACCTCGCTGTCTCTTCCTGATGGCCCTCACCAGGTAGAAATGCCTGGCACACCTGCCTCAAATCCCTAGGTCAGCTCTCACTCCCACATGGAACTTTCTGAGATGATGATGAAAGCATTCTCCATCTGTGCTGTCCAGTGTAGGAGCCACTGATCACACGAGGCTAGTGAGCACTTGACAGTGGCTAGTTTGAAGAACTGCATTTTTAAATGTATTTAATTTTAATTCCTTTGAATATATATACACACATGTATATACATATTTATACACACGTATATACATTTTTACATATATATATATATTCTTTTTTTTTTTTTTTTTTTGAGATGGAGTCTTGCTCTGTTGCCCAGGCTGGAGTGCAGTGGTATAGTCTTGGCTCACTGTAACCTCCACCTCCTGGTGGAGAGTGACTGGGATTACAGGCGTGCGCCACCACGCCCCGATAATTTTTGTAGAGACAGGGTTTCATTATGTTGGCCAGGCTGATCTTCAACTCCTGACCTCAAGTGAGTGATCCATCTGTCTCTGCCTCCCAAAGTGCTGGGATTATAGGCATGAGCCACTGTGCCTAGCCTGGTCAACATTTTCTTTTTGAGACAGGGTCTCTCTCACTCTGTCATCCAGGCTACAGTGCAGTGTCATGATCAAGGCTCACTGCAGCCTCGACCTCCCAGGCTTCGTAATCCTCCTGCCTCAGCCTTCTAAGTAGCTGGAACTACAGTCAAGAGCCACCAAAGCTAGCTAATTTGTTAATTTTTTGTGTGTAGAGATGGAATCGTGCCTATAATCCAAGAACTTTGAGAGGCCAAGGCAGGAGGATCACCTGAGGTCAGGAGTTCAAGACCAGCCTGGCCCACATGGCAAAACCCAGTCTCTACTAAAAATATAAAATTTAGGTAGGCATGGTGATGCATGCCTGCAATCCCAGCTTCTATGTTGCCCAGGCTGGTGTCAAATTCCTAGGCTCAAGCAATCCTCCCGTCTCAGCCTCTCAAAGGGGTAGGATTGCAAGTGTGAGCTACCTTGCCTGGCTTAAATTTATATTTAAATAGCCACATATGACTAATACCTACGATATTAAATAACATGACACTAGACTCTCCATCACCCAAGCTCTGTTGATCCAACCAACAGAGCACACCACCCAGCCTCACACAGACATGTCCCACGCGCTCCTTCCTGGCTCCACTCACCCAGGATATTGCAACCTCCTCAATTCGCCTTGATGACTGTATCAGCCTCCACACCCTTGCATTGCTGTTTATGCTGCCTGGTAACCCTCACCCAGCCTCACCCCATCATCTGCCTCACTTCTACTCTTATTCCAGGTCTCAGCTCAGATGCTCCCTCCTCCAGGAAGCCCTCCCTACCCCTCAGGTTGAATGAGGTGTGTCCCCTTGGGCTCTCCCAGACTCCTGGGTTCCTCCATTCCAGCCCTGATCACTCTGGATCATCATTGTGTGGGGAGGGATCTGCCCCCCACACGCTACAGGACTGTGTACCCTACTGTGGACAGAGGATGGTCTCAATCATCACTGTGTTGTCAACATCATCCAGCACCCACAACTGGGCACTGGGAATGTGTGCTGGATGAATGAATGAATGAACGAACGGAGGATGCTTTTTAAAAAACTAGGCTAAGCCAGGTGTGGTGAGTCATATCTGTAATCCCAGTACTTTGGGAGACCAAGGTGGGAGGATCACTTGAGCCCAGGAGTTCGACACCAGGCTGAGGCAACATAGTGAGATCTCATCTCTACAAAACATAAAAAAATTGGCCGGGCATGGTGGTACACAGTTGTAGTCCAGCTACTCAGGAGGCTGAGACAGGAGGATTGCTTGAGCCCAGAAGTTGGAAGCTGCGGTGAACAATGAAATCCAGCCTGGGCAACAGAGCAAGACTCAGTCTCAAAAAATATATAATAACACATCTCTGAAAACTATAAATATTCATGAAATTATAAGTGACACATTTCAATGGAAAGACAGCAAGGCTAGAAGACTAGGCTCAGAGCTTTCTTTCTTTCTTTCCTTCCTTCTTTTTTTTTTGAAGACAGTGTCTCACTCTGTCATCCAGGCTGGACTGCAGTGGTGCGATCTCAGCTCACTGCAAACTCCATCTCCCAGGTTCAAGCGACTCTTCTGCCTCAGCCTCCCCAGTTGCTGAGATTACAGGTGCCTGCTATCCCACCTGACTAATTTTTGTATTTTTAGTAGAGACGGAGTTTCACCATGTTGGCCAGGCTGGTCTTGAACTTCTGACTGCATGATCCACCCACCCCGGCCTCCCAAAGTGCTGGAATTACAGGCATGAGCCACCTCACCTGGCTTGTCTCAGAGCTTTCAAGTGAGTCAGCCACAGGTGAAATCCCATGTCTGTCTATTGGCAGACTTGCCTCTTCCTGGGCCTCTGTTTTCACATCTGTGCAATGGGAACAGTTATTTATGGTGGCTGCTGAATGAGCAAACCCAGGGGAGTTGTTCAAACAGAGGCTGCTATGACTATTGTTACGAGAAAAAGAGGTTGAAGAGGGTCAGGGGAGGAGTCCTGGGAAGTTCCCCAGCCACCCTGAAAAACTGGTTCAACCTGTGTTTGTGCTCCCATCTCAGGGAGTATAGGTGGAGCCTCCAGAGCCCGTGAACAGGGGATGCTAGGGCTGGGCCAGCCTCAGCGGGGTCTCTAAGGTGCCCCTGGTATCCCCACTGAGCTTGCCTACTTCAGACAGCCAGGCCCAGCCCTCTGGCCCCCTTAGTGTTCAGCTTCTGGGCCCTTGGCATATCCACAGGACGCCAAGATGGAGATTCCCATGGGAACCCAGGGCTGCTTCTCAAAGAGCCTCCTGCTCTCAGGTAAGGAGGAAATACACCATAAAGGCCGAGGGGGAAAAGGGTTGAGGGACTCAGCCCAGGGACTGAAGCTTCCTCTTAGAAGTAGGGAAAGATGATCTGAGAGGATGAAATTAGAGTAAGATGGACAGAGGCAACAGAATCCTGTCCTCATCACCGTTTTATCTGTGGAATTTTCTATAATGTCGGGATAATGAAGGCAGGAATTTATGTATGTTTGGTTCTCTGCTACATCTCCAATGTCTAAACACTGAAAGAAGTATAGATGTATTATATATAGTTGGTATTGTAGCTTATATATTATACATGCCTACAAATATTGAATGAATGAATGAATGAATTCAGAGAGTCCATGTGTTTAGACGGAGGCCACAGAGCATCTCAATGTAGAAAAACCTCTGGATCAGTAGG